CGGCGGTCGAGCCGCCTTGGCGCGTGCCGCGCGAGCGGAGAGAGATAAGAGGAAGAAAAAGCCATGGCCGTTATGTAATGCATGTCGTCGTCGTCGCCGCGCACCCGCGTGTGGAACGCGAGCGACGCGAAACGCGAGCGCGCGCACACGCGAGTACGACCGACGAATTTCGCATTGCTTTTATGTAACGAAGGTCGGCCCGCCGTTTCGGCCGGACTTACATAACTCTGGCCGCCGCGATCTCGCACGCGGCGGAAAGCTCGCTTGATGCCCCACGGGATCGATATTTCGTACGAAACAGCCGCAGCCGTTCCCCGAGCCAGATGGCAGCGCGTCGGCTTCCTCTCTCTCCGCTCTCTGAGACCCCGATCGATGACGGTGCGGTCCAACATGGCCGCCCTTTCGTCCGACCACGAGACCGAATTCCGCTGCCTTCTACTTCCACGCGTCACGAATTCCCCCGCCGTCCATTCACTATCTCCTCTCTTTCTGATTCATCCACGTTGAGACGCGCGAAGACGCGCGTTGTCGGGTCGAATTCCCGTTCCTTCGACGCCCCGAAAAAGTGTTATTGGCCGGGAATTTAATTTGGGAATTAAACGCATGCATTCGATGGTCGGCAACGGTCGGTCTTGCTTGGTGCCGATCGTCGAGTCACGTTGCTGACGACGGAATGATAACGGAAGATAGCTCGCAGCTTATCGTAATCTTTCAATTGTTACACGATACTTGCCGTGTCAAATTACAAAGATAAAATTAAGACAAGTTTACTAGAGAAGTCGATATGTTTAGATGATAATGTAAAATTGGAGACAATTTTACACTTTGAATGTTCAAAATGCTACTTGATCGTTCGAGAACGTTCTATTTCATTTCAGAACGTTCTTGACGTCTATCGTCGCCTTAGTTTGTTTTAATGTACATTTTTGAAATTTTATAAGTTTGTTCGCATTGTCCGAAATCCCCCAAAATTTTGCACTTAAAATGGGATAAATATTTATGTATTCAGGTATTGAAAAAAGAAATAACGAAGATGCTGAATGCGAAAAGTGCAAGCAACGCGAACAGATCTAAAGTAAAATAGATATATGTTCGATATTTAGCGAAAGAGCAAGAAAGTTTTAGTTTTAGTGCAATTGAGTGCAAGAATAAAAAACAGACGTCTTGTTCTTGGTTTTTTTATCGTTAACAAAAATTTAATCTTTTACGGCAACTGGAGTCTTGAAAGGCAGTGTCAATATTCGGATTGTGAATTTTGGTAGATAAAATTTAAATTTGTAAAAAGTAAAATACAATCTGATTTCTATGATAATAAAAAAAATTCGTTAAGCTTTGATAAGTACATCAGAATTTTGTATTATCCGAAATTATAAAAAATTTGCTTTGTTTCTCGAATTCCCATTACTGACGGAAAAGTTAAAATTTATGTTACTGAAAAGTTAACCGGAAATAATCTTAAAAGTATGACATTTTTAGTGTTTATTATAAGGCAAAATATGTAAAAGTATATATAGTTTTTGCAGTTAAACATTATCTCTTTCTAATTTATTTATTACGTCTGTAATTAATCATGCATATTTTGTTTTGTATATAATTAAATTAAAAATAAACTCACGAAAGTTTATATCCGATTAAATATTTCTTAAAGATAAAAACTGGAACACATCACGAATTATGTAAAGAAACGATGCTACCTATTAACATTTTAGAATGTTATGTATAAAACATTCTCTGAATTTAAATTGTATAGCATTTTGAATATTTAAAGTAGAAAATAATGTAATTTATTAAAATAAGTGATTTCATATAAGATTATTCAAATGACTAAGTATTATAAGAGCGTTGTATACGTGTTTCCGTACGATTTATATACATTGTATATTACTTTTCAGGAATGATCGATTGTTTCGTTCGTATCCCACGTGAACAAGGATTCCTCAGTTACTGGCGTGGTAATTTCGCCAATGTCATTAGATATTTCCCAACACAAGCCTTGAACTTTGCCTTCAAGGATAAATATAAGCAAGTTTTCCTTGGTGGCGTTGATAAGAACACTCAATTTTTCCGTTATTTCCTTGGAAATCTCGCATCTGGTGGTGCTGCTGGAGCAACTTCCCTGTGCTTTGTCTACCCACTCGACTTTGCCAGAACCAGGTAAATTATTTGGAGCATTTTAGTTTATTCACGTGTTAATATAATATAGAAGTTATTTGATTTATCTATACAATAGAAATAAAAATTGTTATCCATGTATTAATAATACAAATTATCGTACAATTAACGAGCAATTAACAATTTTAATTAAATTTAATTTCTGGAGACACGTGTCTCGGCGCTAAGTCATAATATTTAACCTTTATAAACTTTTAATTTAAATCTTTTGTCATAATGAGGAGTAACACATGTTAATTTTGTATTTACTATCATATTGCTATGTATTTTTCGTAGAAATAAGTAATCTTATTCAAATATAATATCCAAAATGTAAAATTATGCTAATTTGTGTTCTTTCTTTATTCCATTAGGTTGGCTGCCGATGTAGGCAAAGCTGGCGGTGGGCGTGAGTTCACAGGTTTAGGTAATTGTTTGGCGAAGATCTTCAAAACGGACGGTCTCGTCGGTCTTTACCGTGGATTCGGCGTATCGGTGCAGGGTATCATCATTTATCGTGCATCTTATTTTGGTTTCTATGACACTGCCCGTGGTATGCTGCCAGACCCCAAAAAGACTCCATTCCTCGTTTCATGGGGTATCGCCCAGGTAAGAAGACGAGTTCATTAAATTTCTAATCCCAAGAACAACAAATCGCGATAACGTCAAAATAATATTAATGGACTTTAATGCCGTTGTACACAAATTAACGTAGAGATGTATATTATATTTAATAAACATATAGAAATGAGTTAAATCGTGAAATCTTCAATACATTTTATTGTGTTATTTGATATAATATACAGTGAATATTTTATCAATTGAAATATCTCACTTTAACATTTAGATTAGAACAGTGTATAACGGTTTTAATGTGCACCGAGTGTGCACTAGCTCTGCCAGTAAAAAACGCTATAAGATGAATCGAAAATGATAGAAAAATGACTTAACGATTATTTTATAGTCATTTTGACATCACTTTGCTGTTATAATGACTTGTTGTTCTGCTTGGGATAAGTTGATATAATTTAATTGAACTGCATTTCATTGACTCATCTGAATCTGTTTTGCAGGTCGTAACCACTGTTGCGGGTATTGTGTCTTATCCCTTCGATACAGTACGTAGGCGTATGATGATGCAGTCCGGCCGTGCCAAGACTGACATTCTTTACAAAAACACTCTTCACTGCTGGTCCACCATTTACAAGTCGGAAGGTGGTAGTGCCTTCTTCAAGGGTGCATTCTCTAATGTTCTCCGTGGTACAGGTGGTGCGCTCGTACTCGTACTATACGATGAAATCAAGAACCTTCTTTAAAGCGCTAATACGATCCTCGTCTCATTAATTTCATCATCGACATCATCATTAATTATTCACACATCATCCGATTTGATAGCGATTCCCATAGACCGACGGACAGAAGAGACGTTGTCGGCTATATTAATAAATAATTCAGGCTGAGAGGACGGTCGACGTAGCAGCTCGTAAAGTAAAGTGCATGAAACTCGGCAAAAATAAATATAAAAAAAAGGAATAGAGAAGAGAATCTGCTTAACTTATTGCCGGATTCAGTATTTTTCCGCAACGATTGACATTACGTATTTTCGTATTCCATTGTAAAAACGTTGACGAGACAAGCACAATCGCGGAAATAACGCGAACACCTGTTACTTGGATAACGTTCCATACACGCCATACTGAGCAAGTAGACCGGTCGGAATATCATAAAGTATTTGAAAGTAATAAATTGCCTAGAGTATCAAGTCAGCGCACGTATAAACCATCGAGAGAGGAGGACGCGCGACGAAATGTCATCACGGCGATGGCGGGGCGCGTAGCCTGGGCCGCCCCCCGCCCTTATTCTCGGCCCGTTGTAGATAATTAATTCATAATTAATTCGTAATTAATTAAACTTATCATTTTAATGGTAATCAGCCAGTCCGTTAATTTTTGATGGACGATAATTTAATTTCGCACTCCAGACGACCATGTAAGAAGAAAAGCATTATTCAGAATGTATGCATCTAATCTGTTCATGTTAGGATGCATGCAGGGAAAGCAGCAAATCAATAAAAACGATATAAAATTTCATATATTCCGAAATTATTTTTATTCCCTGAAAAAACACTTTTTGAAACTAATTTTAGTGTAATGAAAATAATTTTATTAAATAAAATTGTTTAAAAAATTTAATTATAAAATTCTAATATACAGATTGACAAAGACTTAACAATTAAAAATTACATTAAAAATGTTTTTCATATTTAATATCATTTAGTTAATTTTCAATTCATATTTATAGTCATACTGAGATGTTTTTTTGTTAAAAATAAATCTGTAAAAGGCTCGTAAGCAAATTCGGTATATTCTTTATCTTGATTTTAATTAAGTATAACATATATTAATAATAAATAATATACTAACACGTCCATTTATTATGTTGTCCCAAAACATTCATTACTTAATCGAGAGAAGGGTACATTTGTTGATATTTGTTTGCTGATAATTATGAATATTTTAAGATAAAGAAAATATATTACATTTTTTTTACGAAAAACTTTTTGGAATGTTTTATGTAACCAAGTGTACCCTTGACATAATAGATATAAGTCATATGTATATAAATTCGAAAGATACAAATAGACTATATATTCTTAATAGCGTTTCTTACAATGACTTACATAAGAAATACATAAATTGTATTTTTGTACAAAAACTTGACAGCTGACGTTCGTAAACGGAAATGACAGAAAAGTATATGAAACATGAACATTCGACTGGTTTATATACAGGTTCCAAGCAGAGATGTGAATGTTTCTAATACATTATGTATTATAGTATATAGCTGTATCATACAGTTGTCCGATTAGAATCACCAGCTATTATGTCCAAAACTCGACTGATGCCAGGCATATTCAGTAGAGTTCCCAATATAGGTACTCTTCGTAGAAAGTTTATTGCTACTGGTAGAAAACCACTGAAACAAACATATGTAATGAATTATTAGGTCAAGTATGCAATGTTCGTTTTTCATATTATTATTAATACCAAACGTTTACAAATTTTTAAAAAATTTGACATTTAAAGTTATACCATTTGATAAAGCTAAATTTCAGCTTTAAGAATCTGTTTTTTCAATCGCGTTACAAAAATTTTTAACGGAGTTAAGAGTAATTAAAATAAAAAATGCGTCTTTTATTTAATCCACGATACTAGGGAACAAAAAATCTTAAAAATTATTTTATAATAATTTTAAAAGATTTTGTAGGGAAAGTTTTGAGCTTTATGTTACACAAAGTAACAATTTCATTTTATTCTACTCATAGTTTTCTACATATAAAAACTATTAAACTCACTGAAGCTCAAAAAACATAGTGGTCTTTTGAAAATAGATATATTTTATGTTAAACTGTTTTAAGCTTTAAAACTCTTTTTAATTTAAATTTTGTTCATTTTTAATGAAGTTACGGCTACTATTAATTAATATAGTAATACGAAAATCGGACATTTCTTCACAAAACATATGGATTTATTAATCATCAATGGACGTCAGTTATTTGAAATTTCGTAATAAATTTGTTTCGTAGAGACAATGCACTCACTATATCTTCTCACATTTGAATAAGTACATTCTTTTTAACTATACTTCTTACATAATCATTCATCTTCCCTTTTTCACCTTTATGTCAAAAAAAAGTGAAAAGATGAAAAGATGTGGGAAGTTTCGCTAAAAAGGACAGACTAATATTTCTTTTATATCCATTTCTGTCGATATAGATTATAGACTAATTTTAATCTTGATTCAATTTACTCTTCACTTTTTTCTAAGAATTAGAAAAATGATTTTTCTTAGAATTAGAAAAAGATGAACAATTAAAATAAATACGTACCTAAAGAGTAATACAAAGCCATACGTTTCTAAGATCATTCCTACAAGGGGCCAACCCATAAGTACTACAAAAACACCTCCTAGAAAAGACGCACTGGCTTTTATCTTGTGTCTTTGAAAGAAAAAGTTTAACGTTCTCCATGGTCCAATGACACATGCGAGGCCCGATATAAATAAGAGCTGCAAAGAATAATCCAGAAGGTCAATCCGGTGTAAGACATAACATAAATAAATAATCTGGTATAAGACTTAATGTAAGTAAATAATAAAAACACGTGCAGTGATCTTACATTTCCAATAGCAAGTAAACCTTTGTCGAAGAGCAACAGTACGCCGAGGAACAGGAAGGAAATCCCAAATCCCGCCAGTCCCACTCCGATTTCTGGAACACATCCCTTATAGTACAATCGATAGAATATCTCAGATCTCGCCGGCTTATAATACAAAGAATCTCTTTCAATATTGATAAAAGGAATTCTTGCACTCACTTTGCGTGTCCGTGATTTCGAACATTATTTACAATTGCTTTTGTTAGAAAATTGCTCGATACACCTGCCGATTTGATTTGTTCGAGCGTGAACGGGAACTTAACCTATATCCACGTCATTGCTTATGATGCAGCATGAGTCCACTTATACATGGAGCTTCGTCAGCTCTTTCGCGAACGCCCTTTGCACGGGACTAGAGTCATCAAATGGATGTTTCAATTCATATTTATGTATTGTCTTCTAAATTATGTACAATTGTTTGGAAAAGATTTATGAGACCACAGGAAATTGGCACTTGTTAGCACTCAAGCTTCGAAAGGCGTGAGCACTTGAGCAGGCGTGGCGTGGCGTCAAATCTGAATCGAACATCCCGATTACTTCCGATCAGCCCCGACTATTTTTATCAGTATAATAATAATTAATAATTATATACACACGTGGTGTGTGTAAAATGCACGCTTTTGCATCTGTTAACTATATTTAACAATAAATTTAAATATTTAAAATTTAACGGACAAATATGAGAGTAATTCGGCAGATTAATTTGCGTAAGTAATTATATATTTATTCAATCTTTGTGATATCTTACATTTTCGGTTAATTTTTAAACATGTATTCTCCATTTCGCTGAAGATAGTTTGAAAGAGAACCAAAATGTTCGAACACATGCAGTGTAAGATCACGAAGATTGAAATATAATTTAATAATTATTGTATTATTACGCAAATCAATCTGCGGAACTCTCTCACTTGTCCTTTATATTTAAATATTTATGTTTATCGTTTTTTTTTTCTTGGGAGTTCATTGTTTATTATTATTAACTATTTATATAGTAGTACGTGAGACAGGAAGGTTGATATTAAAATACAATAAGTTTGAAACGCATCGACATTACAAAAGCGGAAATTAATTGAGGTAGATTAGAATCCATCTCAGTCTTATGTTTATTCGATTATATTTTATGTGTGCCAAAAGAAATTCCATATCGTATTATATGGCAGAGGAATATTTTAACACTTTAATTGCCAAGCCAATTTCAGCATTGAGAGCTCTGGAAATATAAAGGATATATTATTGTATAATAAATGTTTTGTAATTATAATTTCAAAATAAATAAAACTGTCGCACATCAATAATAATAATAAATGATAAGAAAAGCAATAATAAATAAATAAATAATAATAATAATAAACAATGAAAGCAAGTATAAAGTAGGAAAATAAAATTAAAACTTCTAATTCTAATGAATTGTGTTATTATTTTAATATTTTTTAATTATTTTTTAAGATCTTAATATTGTTTTTTTTGTTTTTAATATTTAAAATTAATTATTTAGTCAAATATAATTCTTAAAACCGTATAAACAAAATCATTATCTACATAATCGAGATCTTTATTGCAGAAATTTATTGCATGTCATCTAGATGTGACATGACAATTTTACAGTAAGTATTAGTTATAATACGCGTAAAATTCTTGAAAATCTCAAATCCAAAGAAAATATTTTTTCTAATGATTGATTTATACATATATTATATTCATACCGGAATTTTCACTATTTTTGATTGAAATAAAATCAATCTCAATTCAATTTAATGCAAATTAAAAAATTTCGTAACTGTGCAAATATATAATATAGGACCTTAGTATGATAGTTGTCTTTTACTTTTAAAATGTCAGTGCGTTCTAAAACTCATCAGAATTAAGAAGTGGTTTGTTTAAAAATGCATCTAAGTATTTTTTACGTACTTGACAAGAATAAAATATTGTATTTGTTTTATATGTAGTAGATTTCAAAAAATTTAATTCTCAATTTAATTGTACATTAATTCTTAATTATACATTTAATTATAAATTATACTATTCTCTCCTAATTTATCCTCATTCTATTATAAAAGGAAAGAATGTCGAAGAGAATTGAATTAGAAGTAGTTATCCTAGGAGGCAGGAAGACTTTTTCCAACGTCGCTAGAAGAAAAACGCTCCACAATGTTGGCATCATTGGCAACAAGTCGAGCTTATTTTAGAACACGAGAACGCAACGCACAACCAAATCGCTGACGCGAACGTTTCGTATAGAACGTATATAGTACGCAAACTGTATCTGACGGTTCCTCGTGGTAATCGTTGCGCCAGGAAGCTCGACCGAGCGGAACGATTTCGGGATATTTATTGTATTTATGTGAGAACGTAGACGAGTGAAGATGGTGTCGGTGATGCAGCCGTACATGGTGAGTTCGATGTCCGATTAGATTCGTACGCGACCTCCGGTAAACGGCTGTTTGATGCCTCAATAGATCTCGTGAAACCCACCGTTGCTCGTAACGCCAAAAATTACATCACGATTTTTTCGTGATCTTGCAGGACATCGAGAGTTCTAGGAGCTACATCGATGAACTATACTCTCCGGACGCGCAGAAATGCCTGGAAGCGATTATGTGAGTTTAAAAAAAATTATTATTAACCTTAAGGCTAATACTCTCTATGACTGAAAAGTTATTTTTTTTTATTGCTACGTTTGTGACTACACTGAAGCTTCTTTTTTTATTTTGTTAAATATCAGACATATATTTATTTCACTTTAAGTACAAAGAATGTACACTAGTTTCGCTAAAAAAAAAAGACTTAAAGTTTTCAACAATATTTTCTCTACTTATATTTATTTTTACCAATGGAAATTAATTTTAATTTCAGTTTATACCTTACCTTTTATCTTTTCTTAGTTCTAAGAATTAAAAAAAAATAAACGGCAAATTAAAGAATTAATTTAGATTGGTGGAGACAGGCTTTATATGTTCCTTTCTATTTTTTCGATTAATAAAAATTGTATTAATGTTTCATGAATCTGGTTTTTCTCAGATGTCTCAAGAATTCAGTGATCGGCAGCAACAGGCAAAAGGGCTCGGTTATAGCTCAAGGTGTGGTGCCTCGCCTCTTGCAATTGCTCGGAGACACGTCCGGTACCATCGGCGATCGTATAAGATTAGAATCAGCTGTAACATTGGGTTCCTTAGCTAAGGGCACGGATCAGCATGTACTGGCGCTTATAGACCTAGGTGTAGTCCCATTGCTTCTACAAGTCTTGCTCTCCTCATCAACCACCGAGATTGTTGTGGACAGCAAGATAAAGGTTCTAGATCTGTTGTATGAGGCCTGTTTGCGATGCCTGCGTACAGTATTCCAGCATACGGCAGCACCAGTCCACTCAATTTATCAAGATCCCGCGTTAGTACCACGGTTGTTGTCTCTAGCAAGTCGGTCGGTCACCTGTCAAGTCTGTGTAGCGACAATTTTAACTACGGCATGTAAGGTAAAGAGAGGTCTGAAACTCTAATAAAAATATAAAATGTGTCTGTGCCACAAGAAGGAACTAATCTACAAATTGCTTGTTAGACGACGGAGGAACAGAACGCTTTGTCCAAAGGCGGTGCGGTAGAAACACTGGCGATGCAACTGGACTCCCCCCTATCTGATGTCCAACTACCAGCTCTAGCCTGCTTAGCGAATATGTGTTACCAGAATCACATGGTGTCTGCTATGGTAGCGTCAGCCAGCACTAGTAACGCTGTCCACGGTAGATTGGTGCCTGTCGCATTAGGTCAATTAATGGGACGTGAGAAGAGTTCATTGATACAGCTCGAAGCAGCGAGATGTATCGCGTATATGCACAGGGCCGGTGCGTTGCCGTCCACTGATCCGCGAGTAGTGTATCGCACGTTACCCTGTCTCGTACGTTTGTGTCATCGAGACCGACCGCCACGCGAGAGAGTTGCCGCGGCCGAGACACTTGCGTACCTGACCGAAGTTGATACAGATCTACAGCGTTTAGCTTCCATTAGTAATCACTTGATACCGACACTGGCGGAATTGCTAAGACCACATCCACAAGTAAGCAAAAATTACATTAAATATATTGAATATCTACAAAGTATGGTAAAATCAATGAAAAATACTTTATTAGGTTGTACTAAGATAGTGATTAAATAAAAGTTGTACGTAATACTTTTTGTTCAGGTTCAAGATGCAACGTTAACGCAAGATATGCGACAAGCTGCGTTCAGAGCATTTGCGTCTCTCGGAGCGAATGACGAAGATATCCGAAAGCGTATCATTGAAACAGAAAGTCTTATGGAACAAGTTGTCTCTGGTCTTCAAGATCCTGGTGGATCCCGTGTTCGTTTAGCCGCGGTTAGATGTTTGCATTCCCTTTCGAGGAGTGTGCAACAACTTCGTACCACATTTCAGGATCATGCAGTGTGGAGACCACTTATGCAGTTGTTACATGGAGCAGACAAGGGGTTGGAGGGTAAAATATGATAAATATTTACAATAAGCATTACAGAGATACGCTACAATAAACACTGAGAAACGTGTATGTTGCATGCATATATATTGCATGTAAGATACAAAAAAATACGTATATTTAGCTTCAAATTAACATCTTAATCAAAAAGAAAAAGATGCAATATCGAAAGAGGGTTATTAATGTACAATGTGAGTTATTCTTTCTTTATTCTATATAAAACAAGAATAGATTTGTAGCTCAATTAAAATACACGCATCAAGAAAAGTTCGCAATCTTTTACGCTTGTGTTGGCCATATTAGTATTTAAGATATTTACAATAAATATCGCAACATAAATTATACATGAACATGAATAAAATGAGGCGACTGTTTTCTCATGCGTGTAGACAGAAATGATAAATACATCCCTATTTTTTCTCTCTGCATTGTAAAATTATTTTTCAAAAAAAAGGAACAAGAATAAAGAGATCAGTGCTTGTAATTAACTGTTATTATTAGTATTCAATCGCCAACTGTATGAGTTACTATTAACATTGTCATTATTGTACTATAGGTAGAGGCGAAGGTGAAGGTGATTTATTAACTGTTGCCTCGAGTACTTTATGTAATTTACTGTTGGAGTTTAGTCCGAGCAAAGAACCAATTCTTGAGTCCGGCGGAGTAGAGTTATTGTGTTCTCTCACTAAACGGCCCGAATCGGCACTCCGACTGAACGGCATTTGGGCTCTAATGAACGTGGCCTTTCAAGCAGAGCAACGTGTTAAGTCGCAAATACTGTCGTGCTTGGGCACAGATCAGATCTTTCGTCTCTTGGCCGATCCTGAGTTAGGCGTCCTGATGAAAACGCTGGGCCTGTTACGAAATTTACTTTCTACTAAAGCTCACATAGATCGTATAATGGGCGAACACGCCACGCATGTTATGCAAGCGGTCATTCTAGTATTGGAAGATCCAGAACATCCGGCGGACGTTAAAGAGCAAGCACTTTGCATTTTAGCAAATGTAGCTGATGGCGATCGAGCTAGAGATCATATCATGGCTAATGACGATGTGCTTAAGAAACTCATGGATTATATGGTTCGTACAGTGTACAGTTATTACAAGTACTTCATTAATTGCGTATTCCTAAACAATTAATTCCTAAACAATTAATAGATAGGATAATAAAAGATTTTGAAAAAACAAGTCGCGCTACTTGTACTTATTTTATCTGCATAGTAAAAAATAACAGCTTTGAATACCATACGTTTCAAATGTATATTAAATCGATTAAGTATTCGCATTTCCTTGAGTCCTATCCATTAATTTAATAATTATGTCTCTTAAATGAGACCACCGATTGTACATCGATATTTTATGTGTACATTTTATTTAGATGCACAGCAACGTGAAACTGCAAGTCGCTGCTATTTTTTGTGTATGCAACCTAGTCTGGAGAGAGGAACCCGGTGCAGCGCAGCGACAAGCGCGTTTGCGAGAGTTAGGAATTTATCGTATCTTGCAACAATTACGTCACACAAAAGATACTCAGCTATTTGAGAAGTACGAAAGATAAGCATTACGTGCTAAATTATTGTCGTTTTTTTTTCGTCGTATCTTTATATAACAGACCTCATATGTAATTTCCGTTTCAGAGTCAAGACTGCCCTATCACAATTCTATGAACCTTGAATTTGGAATGTATCGCCGTTGAAGATTAGGTTATGATTTCAAGTATCTTTTTTATATTTGTGAAATAAATTACGAGTTTAGCATTAACACTGTGATTACCTCGGTTGACAATGTAATCGAAAGTTACAAGCAAGATGGACAAACTGATCTTTCTGAGCCTATGCCTGTAATCTATGTCTCTGTGTAGTATTTATTTAACTTAATAGACAAAAATAATATCGATTGCACGTGATTCGTTTATTTCAAAGGAAACGTTTGATATATATTATTTGCTAAGTATATAACATCGATTCACAAGCAGAGGCTTCAGATATGGATTGTCAGATGCAATAAAAAAATAAAGGGATAAATAAATCATGAAAAGAAATTGAAATAAATGAAAAGCAAATATACTTATATGGTATACTTCCATACCTTTAGATATATCCGTCAGAAATACAAAGAATTTCATAATAATTTATATTGAAGATCTTGTAATATATAATATATATATATATATATATAGGATATATTGAAAGAAAATATAACTAGCGCATAATATGTAATAAATATTACATTTTATATCTTTGGTATTATCTTTCTTTAGCTTATATGAAAAATTATGTAACTGGAACGGTTTTGATTCTTATGACGATTCCATTAAAAATAAATCTGCAGTGTTAAATTTAAAAGTTTACAAACTGGTAATTACTGATACAAACGTGTGAAGTAAAAATACCGTGAGCTATATGTTCACCGTATCACATATTGATAACAATTGATAGAGTTTGATCAGTTTTCCTTATTGTTACAAGTATTGAGTAACAGGGCGATACTATTAAAATGCATCGTGATTTAAGCAGAAGCGTTACTATCACCGGTAAGATTCTCCATTGGATTGTTAGCCAATGGATCCAATTCAGCGAATAAATCCAACCATGAGTTACCTTTCTGCTTTCCAGTCTTATTCTTTTTCTATGAAAAGAATATTTCGATTAATCGTGCGACATATTCGCATTATTACTGCTGAACGCAATTCGAGAATACTTACTTTGTCGTCCGTGTTACTAGCGGTACTCCTCTGTCCCATACCTAGTGCCGCATCTCCCAGGCTCTGTTTCAAAATACTTGGCGGTAGAAAAGTATCATGTGAAATGCCTTCCCAATCATTGCTCGTGCTTTGTTGCTTGTCATTCAGGATTTCGTCGAAAAGCGCTGCGCTTTCGGAAGCCAATAAATTCAAAGATTCCTGTTGTCGAGCCTCCGATGACAAGGGAGACAAATCAGTCAAATTAAAATCAGTATTGCACTCTTCAAACATATCCATTACTGATTTCTGCTCCTCGGTACTTTTGCTAAATAAAGTATTGGTTTTTTCGGTTTTATTAACCGATTGCCCAGTACTGTTGGACTTATCTTTTTCCAGGATAAGATTTCCAAAGAACTCCTCGAGACTTTTGTCTGTGTCATTGGTACTATGCACGATTCCGTTTTTCGAAGAATTTGTACCCGCATTTAAATGTATCAGTGTATCCTTTGGCTCATTTTCTATGTCTAAGAGTTTTTCATCTTTTTTATTTTTCTCCGACGTACTTTCTGAATTTGAGGTAGCCTCTTGAGCCTCCTCAACATCATCGTGATAATCCATGTCGAAAAATGGTAATCTGTAAAAATCAATATCGTGACGAAAATGACATGTGTTTCCTTTCATCTTGTAACTTACTTATCCTTATCTTCTAAATCGTCATCACCACCAGTTTCCTGCGCCAATTTACTGGAGGTTTCAGCCAGTTCTCGCACAACTGTGAAGTCGTAACGTTGATAGCCTTTGAAGCTGTTGGCTATTGTTGAATATGCTTGTGCAGATTTTTTTGTGAAATTTAGGAGCGTGGTTTGATATAAAACTAAGGCATGACTGAACATGTTACACCTTGCCGCTGCTAGCAAATCAACCTTCTGAAGACAGTCAAGGGCTAGATTGTCAAAAACTATTTTGCCCCTAAATTATAACACACATACGATATATAAATTCCTCACAATATTTTATGAATACATAATTAAAGCCCAAATTATAAAAACGAGAATAGAAGAGTTATCGTTTAATTTAAACAATATAATTTAAATAAAAAGACTAATTGAATTTGTGATTATACTTTATATTACATGTATATGTAAAATATATAGAACCTACTGCTTAACACGTGCTTGAACTTTTTTATATTTTTCCAGTTGTTTGGATGTATCTGGATCTAAATCGGGAGAAATATTCTTCATCCATGACAGAGCAGCTCGGTACTCCGTACGGGCCTTTTCCATCGCTTGCACATTTTGCAATGTATCTTCAATAGCTCTTTGTCTAAATGTTTCCACCTCTTGATACAATCGGCCCAAGGGAGTTCTCAACGCAAGCCTCTGCTGACCAGAATAAGACAGAGATTTACCTACAGCTGACATCATCTTGCCGGCACGAGTTTTATCTTGCTTTCCGGCATCTTTCAAGAAACGTCCCATTCCATTTTCTTCCTGGGCTAAATCTAAACAGGTTAAATTATCACGTTATCGCAATTTCTTAATATAGCCTAATTTATCTTAAAGAAGAAAATACATTACATATATTCTATGACAATTAATACAGTTATTTCATATTAGAAATTGTGTTAGAACACGCACTGCATAATCTTTCTTGGTATTTATCGATAACTCTTTGTAAGTAGGAACAGGAATCTTGGATACTGCGGAACAATTCTAGCTTTGCATCCAGCTCAGCATCTGAAGCAACTATACACTCATCCTCCTTCTTCCCTAATTTCTGAGACAGAGCCTGCTTTCTCACCCAGAATTGGTATTGCATTTTTGTGATGGCAGAGTCGTCATGCATAGACTTTTGAACCCAGCAATCAAAGGCATTCCCTGATATGCCTGATGCACCTCTGTTACTGCATGCATGGTATAAAAAAGTTTTGTAAGTTTCTCGTTCAACGTGACAGTGATTAGTATAAGAGTTACATGCAAATCTCACCAACGGTATTCCCACTGTTAATGAAAAATAAGACCAACAATAATACCATTTAAAACAGATGCTTTCTTTTGTTAGATCATTAGTTCTACTGATAATAGATATAAATACATGTGTTTCCTGACTAACAGGAAATTTTGCAAACTTCATAGATAGTTTATCAGCCATACAGAAAGAAAGGAAATAGACTATTCATTAATACAAGAGAGAGAGAGACAGATTTATGAAGCTCACGGAGAAGTTAAATAATCAATTTTGCGCAATATCTATTAATAACACGAAGAGATGCAAACTACCATATTGATTCAGTATAGTTGGATATGAACTTGATAGGACTGGTAACGGCGTGGTCGCCGTGTCCTCTTTTCGAGGTCTCGTCCCGCCTCGTCGACGAGGTCGACGATGGTGGGATTCGGATGAAGTCGAGAAAAAAAAACGAAGGAGATACTTACTAAGCATTCATAACGGAAGACCCGTTGATACGCCACGGTGCGTGCGTGTGTGGGTTAACACGTTAATGTTTACAAGCTCGGAGTGTACTGTGCAGGACTCGAAGCCGCTGTGCGTACTACATCGTTGCTCGACCGCGTAATCACATAGTGCACGCGCGTATCGTTCCACGCGAGATTGCATTCGTAGTGCGCTACGTTAACAATCGGAACGAAAATCGGAGCGCTTTCCTACTTGACAGCTCGGACGTGAAAGCCACGAAGGCTAGTTTTGTCACATATGGCGAACGACTATCAGCCAATAGGCGACGCGATGCTCGTGATTGGTCAGCCGACGTTGCGATAAGAAAGAGGATAAATTGATCGTTATTATCGCCAGCGGCAAATCCGCAGTGAATAATATCTCGTTGAGTTATTAGAACCTTGGGCAGTTCTATGATGATGATTTTATGAAACGGAATAATAAAAAATACATAAATAAATAGGAAATAAAGCTTGTTTTTTTTAAACTTTTCTTTTCATCATCCATTTTTCCTCTTTTTTTTCTTTAAAATGAAAAAGGAAGTATGGAAGGAAGGTGTAAAGTTTAGCTAAAAAATCAGCTAAATCTACTAGTAAATATATTGCTAGATAATTAAGTTATAATTGCTGATTGAGGTAATCGAAATTAGATATAAAATTTGGTACTTATAACGTCGTTTTCTAATTATCCGAGATGAGAGAAATTTTTTAGTAATTTATATTCCTCTGTTGATAAAAAATTGAACGTATTATTAAGTTTGCGGTTATTTTATTTAGATGGCGCTGGAAAATTTTATTACGTTATTATCTCCGTAAGAGCTATTTTTATCATACGCATTCAACAAAGCTTAAATTAGAATCACTTGGAATATTTTACGACGATTTTTAAATAGATTACGTGATGTGTGTTTCACAATTCTAGCCAAATTGTTTTTTTAACCAAATTGAATTTATCAAATGCCCATCGAATAATAGATATATAAAAAAATTTAATAAAAAATTACTTAAAAATGTAAATTTAATTAACTTAATTAATTTAATATATTTTATTTACGTCAATTCAATTTTATTCAAGTTAATTAAATTTACATTTTTAAGTAACTTTTTATTTTTTATTTTTTAAATATTTATTTTAAATAGTATTTAATATCAATCAAATAAGTGTAGCATTATTTATCGTAGCTGCTTAAAATTCTCTTTGTAACGACATGTACAGAATTTAGGCGTCTATTTTTAACGACCTGCAGTATCGTTGCATTGTCGTAAACATTACAAAATGGGAGCCTTTCAGTTATAATATTTCAAGATGAATGTTAATATTACTAAAATAAAAAATCGGAGTAACGAAACCGAACATTCTGGAGAAATAACAAAGTTTTGTTTGAAATGGTCTGACAAATTTCGTATCTTTTCGAGCATTGAAAATATATTCTTGAATGTCCTTGCTCTGTTAAGACTATGGTCACGTATACGCTAAAAAAAAGTGCGAATAATCGCGAATAATCACGAACGATCATATATGATGCAATCAATTAAGTTTGCGTTTCGTTATTCATTGCAAGTATATATACTGAAAAATTACAGTACACGTAACGTAAATTATAAAGATCTATTTGCGTTGCTTAAAATCATTAAAAATGTTACCTAAAATAAGATGAATATAAATCTGATATTAAAGAGACAAAGCGCAGATACTAAAAGTGCAAAAAGTGTAAAAGTTGCAACGCGCAAGCGAATCTTAGATTTTCGAGTACCCGCAGTGAATAGCTGGATGTAGCGCAAGTACATTTTTGCAAAAACAATAAGTTTTTATTTCATCGATGAGCCGCAATATCTCGTCGTGATGAAACGCGATTCGCGGGGAGCTAATTTTAGTCGTGAATCTTTTAATACATGCGACACTGTTCCAGTATTTTCCTACGGTCTCTTTATCTCTCTTCCACTCATACGTCGTGCACGCGTCATCTGTCCTTCTTTCTCCTACATTCGGCGCGCCTGCCAATGGAAACTTCTCGAATGATCTCGAGAACTCGAGAAATCGCGCCGTGATTGGTCATCTGTGGAAGCTTCTCGAAGCGGGCGATTCAGAGTATTAAAAGCGCGGCGCGCGGCTCGCGTCATCAGTTTCGCAACGAACGTGATAGAGTGTATAAGTGCAATAAGTGGCACGAAGTGTCGACTTGCAAATCAAATTATCGACGTCTTAAAGAAGCTATTGTTAGGTGAGTGTTGAAATAGAGTTATTTAATTGTGAGGTAATTGTGCGTCGATTAATTATTGTTTCCCAAAAATTCATCGCGTCGGTATTATAATTTCTACCGAAATTATATAGAAACAGAATACACTTTTTTTTTAATAGTTTTCTCCTACATTATTTTTGTCTCTTATCGGTAAAAGATGTAAATTCAACATTTTGTTACGCAAGAAAGTGAAATTGTGCGACTCGGGTGCAAATAATTGTGGAAAAAAGAAAATTGCCGAATGACGACTTTTAATTGGCCGGTATAAATTTCATACAATTCTTATTTCAAGACCATCTTAAGTAATCTTCGTGATTGGCTTATAACATCTTAAGACTGTACTTAAAACAATCTACTTAAGTATAAGAATCGATTATAAGAATGCCAATTTTTGTCGCGATATTCGAGAAATCCTAACTTCCGCAGAAAACATTATTACGCAGTAATTAAGTTTAAAAAACAAATCGACGTCGGTAGAGCATTTTAAATTCACTTTACCTTCTCATGGCTCATTTTGAAACACGTCGCGCAATACATACATGTTCTCGCAAAAGCATTTTGCTAATCAATATTAAAGAAATTCGAGATGTGTAATATAATATTATAATACAAAACATATAACATTTATTGCGTTATTATTTTCAAGCACAGTTTGATAGATTCGTTTCACTTCGAGCAACTTCGATTGTTCGAGGCTAATCAATATCGTATTCTTTTTTTTTTATTTTTTTTTATTTTATTGCAACGCTCATGCAATACAACATATCACGTTGTCACATTTCAGTGATTACCGTCGAGAAAATTAAAGGGAAGAGAGGCTAACGATGTCGAAAGCACCGGCAGTCGGAATCGACCTGGGCACCACGTACTCGTGCGTGGGTGTCTTCCAACATGGGAAAGTTGAGATCATCGCCAATGACCAGGGTAATCGGACCACGCCAAGCTACGTAGCCTTCACCGACACCGAGAGGCTGATCGGTGATGCGGCGAAGAATCAGGTTGCTATGAACCCCAGCAACACCATTTTCGGTAAGTTTGAGCTTTTTCACTGAGATGTTTTTCACCGCTTTTGCGTCGCAGTAATGCGTTCGAAGGTGACCTGATAAGGCCGTTGGACTTTATCTATTGCGCCGTGTTTCTGTCGATTTTCACTTTTTGGTATTAGTTTAATATTTAATCATGGAATTATTTCAACATTAAATTGAATTATTATTTTTTGCATTATTAATCGCGATTTATTGAATATCTTTGTTATAGATTCCTTAAAACGTAAAATTTTTGTGTTTAAATTTTTGATATGAGCGCAAATTCGATTAATCAAGCGCTTTTAGTTTTCCATTGTATTATTTTAAGATTTACTAGTGGAATTGTTTCAATATTGAGATATTCTTTGTTACTGATTGCAAGAATGATATATTGATGATGGATTTCTTGAAATATGAAATTTTTGTGTTCCAATTTTTGAAAAACTATTGCTATTATATGAGAGGATATTCGATTAATCAATAGCGATTTTAATTTTCTATTGTATTGCTTTAATATTAAACTTGTACAATTGTTTTAAAATTTATTATCCCTCGTCACACTAATTGCAGGGTGATATATTGATTGAATTTCTTCTAGATTCTTTAAAATGTTTAAATTTTTTGAAAGTTGATGCTGAAATATTAGAGAGAACATTCGATTGATTAACAGCTTGCAAACAATTTTTATGTAGTAATATTAATAGTTTACGGTTTCGGGGTAAATTCATGAAACCACAAAAACCTCATCGATTTTCTTTTTAAGACGAAGAATTGTACGTTATTTTTAAATAATTCGACCTTGCGATCGATAGAACACGAAACTTTCCGTGCTCGAGAAGTTAACTTATCTCAATCGTGTTTTACTGCAGCTTTACTTGCAGTGACCTTGTATGACGCGCATGTCCTCTGTGTAGTATTCGTTTGTAACGTACGCAATGTCCCTCCTTCCTCCGACTGCCTATCCTTACAATGTAACCGAGCGTTCTGACGTTCATTGTAGTTTTATGTAATCCTAATTTGTGTGCCAGCTATGAACGTCGTCCAGATTTTACGTTGAATCGTAAATCATAATGAATCACGCGATTTGTCGCTTTCAATGTCAGTGTCTTGTTTAATTCTTTATGCAATGGACGAATATACATGTATCGAACATACAATACAGATAATCCATTATATTTAATTTTATATATATAACATGTAAATAATATTAAATTAAAATATATAATATAAAAAAAATATATATAAAGATATATATGTATTATTCATATATATGTAATGGAGATATATAACGTAAATTTTTTGTATGTACTGTAGTATTTCATGAGTTTTCTTTACACGATTATCTTTGTACGAATTGTATGAAAGTACTGGCAAATATTGAATGTTTCTGCTTATTGGCTTGGCAATAATTCAACATTTCGCAATCATTTCTTTCGTAATCCGACACAATCCGCAGGATCCACTTCTCCACTTCATATCGCATTATGCACTCTAAAAAATAATTTTTGAAGGAATAGACAACTTAAGAATCTCTTATCATTTTTTTTCTAAAGATGCAAAGCGTTTGATAGGCCGTCGTTTCGATGATGCGACGGTGCAGAGTGATATGAAACACTGGCCGTTCACGGTGGTCAACGATGGCAGCAAACCGAAGATCAAAGTGTCCTACAAGGGTGAGATGAAGACTTTCTTCCCCGAGGAGGTGTCCTCGATGGTCTTGACGAAGATGAAGGAGACTGCGGAGGCGTACCTGGGCAAGACTATTACAAATGCCGTCATCACTGTGCCGGCTTATTTCAATGACTCTCAGAGGCAAGCAACAAAGGATGCCGGCGCTATTGCTGGCCTGAACGTTCTCAGAATAATAAACGAGCCCACAGCCGCCGCGATAGCGTATGGTCTCGACAAGAAGGCTGCAGGTGAAAAGAACGTTTTGATCTTCGACTTGGGTGGCGGTACCTTTGACGTGTCGATTCTGACGATCGAGGATGGTATCTTTGAGGTAAAATCCACGGCCGGCGACACGCATCTCGGTGGCGAGGACTTTGACAACCGAATGGTGAACCACTTTGTGCAAGAATTTAAGAGGAAATACAAGAAAGATCTGAGCAGCAACAAGAGAGCTCTGAGACGTCTGAGGACTGCTTGCGAGAGAGCGAAGAGAACATTGAGCTCATCAACGCAGGCGAGCATCGAAATCGATTCATTGTTTGAGGGCATTGACTTCTATACGTCGGTAACTAGAGCCAGATTCGAGGAGCTCTGCGCCGATCTGTTTAGAAGCACTCTTGAACCCGTGGAAAAGGCGCTTAGAGACGCGAAGATGGATAAAGCCCAAGTTCACAGCATCGTTCTAGTCGGTGGCTCCACCAGGATACCAAAAATTCAGAAGCTACTTCAAGATTTCTTTAACGGCAAGGAACTGAATAAATCCATCAATCCGGACGAGGCCGTTGCTTATGGTGCGGCAGTTCAGGCGGCCATTCTGCACGGCGACAAGTCCGAGGAAGTCCAAGATCTACTTCTACTGGACGTGACTCCGTTGTCATTGGGTATTGAAACCGCTGGCGGCGTTATGACTACCTTGATTAAGAGGAACACGACGATACCAACGAAACAGACCCAGACGTTCACCACGTACTCCGACAATCAACCGGGAGTGCTTATACAGGTCTACGAGGGAGAGAGAGCGATGACGAAGGATAATAACATCCTCGGCAAATTTGAGCTGACGGGTATTCCTCCAGCGCCTCGAGGTGTTCCGCAAATCGAAGTCACTTTTGATATCGACGCTAATGGTAAGTTGCGATTTTGCAAAAATTCATAACTTCAAGTCGAAGATATTATTGTTTGATTAACTGTTATAATGTGTAATGTGTTTCAAATAACGTTTTTTATATCTTACATTTCTGTGTATTTCGTCTTACAGGCATATTGAATGTCTCTGCGATCGAGAAATCTACGGGCAAGGAAAATAAGATCACGATTACCAATGACAAGGGTCGCTTGTCGAAAGAAGACATAGAGAGGATGGTCAACGAAGCCGAGAAGTATCGATCGGAGGACGAGCAGCAACGGGAGAGGATTTCCGCCAAGAATGCCCTCGAGTCGTATTGCTTCAACATGAAGAGCACGATGGAAGACGACAAAGTTAAAGATAAAATCGATGCATCTGATAAGGAGAAAGTCCTTTCTAAATGCAACGAAGTCGTCTCCTGGTTGGATGCCAATCAATTGGCGGAGAAGGAAGAGTTTGTCGACAAGCAGAAGGAACTGGAAGCCGTATGCAGTCCCATCGTCACAAAACTATATCAAAGTGGCGGAGTGCCTGGTGGATTCCCTGGTGCTGGCGGAGCAGGAGCCAATCCTGGTGCCGGTGGTGCTGGACCAACTATCGAGGAAGTCGATTAAATGAAATGACGAATGTCTATTCTTTTTTTTTTACTACACTAAATTTCGTATCGTTTAATCTTGTTTTACATTCAACAAACTTTATATAACTTAAGTTCAGGACGCTCGTTTCGATTTACTCTTTATAAAAATGAATTTTTTATTTTCTGAAATTTGACGAGCTGTGTTAATGTGATCGTATTGTATTATATAGTGATAAGTTCGTTAGAATAAATTAATTTATTAATATTTAATATTAATTTTAAAAAAACTATGGTGTTTTTTTAAAATCTCTTACCAATAATGCTCCGCTTAGCATTTTCCATTGAATTGCGCGTCTGAATTTTCAGGTCGATAAAACTGAACGAGGATTATTAGATAAGTGGTAATCACTCCGACAAACTGCAAAATAAATTTCCTTCGTTTAATTGCTATTGAAATTTGAAAGAAGTTTTACATAAATTTAACGAATTAAATTGTGTACTCACATTACTGAGTAGAGCGTTGTTCATCTCGAAGAAATCACAGGCTGTAAACGCTATTCGATGCTGTTGCAGCTGAATCGAAAAATCATTGACTTCGTTTCTGACACAGTCTCGGTCCAGATTTTTACGCAAGATATTTTCCATGACAACGTAGTTCAGATTGTAACTGCTGCTCCGATTAGAATTTTGTTCGCCGTCCGGTCCTTCCGATGGCGGTGGCACTTCTAGACTTGAGTGATTCCTTGCATCGTTCAATTTATCAAGGCTATTCGCAGGCTTGTAATTCAGTACAATCGCGTATATACTTAACCCAATCCTGTCGGATTCTTTACGCGCGAGCGTGCAAATCCAGCACATCAGCCCGAACTGAGCGGCGTACAGAATCCAAAGAATATTATTTATCACCATAAACGCATAATTCTTTTCCACGACGCCCATATAGATCCTAAATAGAGTAGCCACGACCATAGTGAAGCAGTTTGCCGAGCAGAGTAGGAGGTGAAAGCCATGGATATCGTTCACCATGATGACCAGATCACAAATATCTACACAATATAATTTATTTAACAACGTCTCGATGTCAATGTTATTATCGCAATCTCTTCATATTATATAAATTGTATTAAATTACACTTCAAACCGTATCGAGCCATACTATCAAATTGCAATACAAAAGATAATTAAAAAGAGATTTCTGGGCTCGTAAGATAAAAATCAACGGAAAAGCTCTTCGTACTAATCAAATTATACACATTAAATATTATTGAAAAATTCATAAAAATATTTTATTACAAAGTAACAGACGATGTTTCGACTTTTATTAAAGTTGTCTTCAGTGTGTGAAATAGACAAATTGTACGTTACAATAATAAATATCAACGCGCAAACAAACCAATCATACGCATTATGTGAAATTGAAATTCACCAATTCCTGAAGAACCTGCTAAGCTCATCAATCATTTACTTTCATTGACAAAAGATAATATTTGCAAAGACTCACCGGTATGCAATTCTCTGATGCGTCTAATCTTGAGCGCGATCCACGGCGCCCCAAATATCTGGTCCAACTGGTCGATCAGTTCATTTATCGTCTGAAATCGGTGATACAAAATATAGACGATCACATCGAAGACAAAACTGTTGATCAATGACTGGGCTATTGTGTAGTAAAGCAGCAAGTCGGACGCAAAAATGTCTTCGGGACGTATAAAGTAGTAATACAGGGCGTGCACGATCAGGGACAAAGGGCCGCAAGAGAATGTCGTGAGAATAGCTAACGCTTCTACACTTTTTATGGGCCGGTCATTCATGGGGATTTCCCTCCTGATCTTCTGGTCTATCTCCTTTATTCTGTCCATCAACTCCGGCCACTTGTCGTACTGCCTGATCCCATGATAAACGTAGTAATACGCCGATACGTAGCACATCACCTTGTTCATGTAGTACATAATCTTGAATATGTCACTTTTGAAGACACTACCGAAGGTGAAGAAATCTATTGCGCCGTACGCTACGATAACGGAACACACGGCCAGGTGAACGATACGTAGCGTTATTGTGACCGCCTTGGGACAATTTCGCGGACGTGCAACGCCGACACCAAGGAGCCAGGAAGTGTACGATATCGGACGTAAACTGTGCTCTATCGAGGGCGAATTGTCTTCCACTCGCACATGAATTTCCTCCTCCATTTTCGCCTCTTCCTGTGCTAGTATCTTCTTCTTAATTTCCAATATTAAGTAACAGTTTTGCAAAAAGCGAGTACAGCTGCAAATGATTACATTGAAGCTCTTTGCGGTACAAAATATTTTGAAGAAAGAACAATAAAGTTTGCGTGAAAACGAGACACATTATTGATAAGTGTCGTTCTCCCTGGTGTTTCACGTAGAATAGAGAACGATGTATATTACTTTTGCAACATTAATGAAGTTTAGATTGCGTGCCATGAACTGTCCTTCATAAGTGATTTTAGTAAATTAAATGAATCTCCTCGGGCAAAAAGAAAGGGAGAGAGAGGAACGACGTATATTAATAATGCAAGAAGTTTTGTATTATGTCAATCTTGCGTTAATTTTTCGAAGTTCTGCTCTTCTTCAGCAACATTTTAACTTAAGAAGAAATAATTACGCATCTACATGTGTGCTTATATCGAAAAACGAGCTTTATTTGGCCCAACGACTATATTACAATCTTATTATACATAAGTAAACATTTAAAACCGGGATAAAACGATAACATCGACTTTTATAAATCAGGCTGCAAGTCGAGTATTGAGTATCTCGGAGAAATGCGGGCTGTGTTATGTGATATATAAGTTCATATATCGCCTCTTCCACCTCTTTCCTTAATGATAATAGATCGATCGACTGTGACCGAACCTAATAACCAGATGCGATCGTTGTCGAACACAATACGTAAGGGCCTGAGTATAAAGACGACCGTGACTGAGTCGTGAAACGTGAGTCGTAGGTGTAGAACAAACGCACAATGTTTTAGTGTAATTACGTATGCCATATCGGCATATGTATAGTTAGGCCAAAACATTGTGTGTTGACTTACGACTACGACTCACGTTTCACTTGGTTACGGCTATCTTTGTGCTTAGGCCCTCAGATAATCTTACTTCTGTGTCACGTGTGTATACGTGATTTTATGTATAAATATATGTATGCGCCTATGCAGCTTTCACGCTATGCAGCGTTTGAGAACATTTTTCAACGCTTTTTATCTTCTTTTTCATTTATTATTTACTCGGGGAAAGGCAGCGTAAATTATCCGAACACGAGAATGTTGATATACGTTTTGCTATAATAATAGTTTTACATTTCTGTGACGCGCCTCCGATTTTCCGTAAATCTTTAATTACGTGTGATCACGTATATGTATATGTATATGATATATATACTGAGAATACAAGCCATCATAATATCAAAATGATGTGAAAATAACTTTAAAATGATTACTAAACGTCACTTTTCAATTAATAACGATTTCATTTTAACATCATTTTGATGTTGTTGTGATTTCTTGTTGTTCTGCATGGGATAACGTCTCTTAATAATTTTATATTATTATGTTTTACACTTTATACAAGTCTAGTGACCAAAGATTGTATTTGGAAGGCTCGTGATGTTGAAATGTGTTGATTATGTTAACTTACGATTAATGTCAGTAACTGGTAATGCCGGCTGTAGAATATGACGGTATAATATGGAATATGACGCAATGGAGAAGATCTCGCAGTTTTCTCGAATCGTCATTCGAATTTTTAGACATTCAAAAATATTTTAGAAATAAGATTTTCTTATTACTTTGGCCGAAAGTGTCTTATGTATTTTACGGAAGTATGTGAATCCAATTTTAATTCAATTTTCAAATAATAATTAACAAAAGAAAAATTCACACACAATCGAAGTCATTGTTTCGTTTGTACGACGGCACATAAAGTGTAATTTAAATGAAAGAAGATGATAGTGATTTAATTCCAATAATTTTTCTATAATATTTATATGCAATATCTACATATAGATATTTTGCTGCATTCGTCTAAAGATATAATAAAGATAGGTTCAAATCTAGACAGAAAAGCAGAAAGTAGAAAAGCAGTAGCCAATCAGGACTCGTGCTGGTTTCGACTTTCTGCAACTTTCTGCACTGCTTACTACCAGCGCCAATTTTAATTGGCTGCTACTTCTCTGCTTTCTATCGAGGTCTGAACCTATCCTAAACGACATCGCGCTGTGTATATATATTTAACGAATGAACGAGTCATTTTTGAGTCAGTTTTGGTCATGCCTAAAAATAAGTCAACGGAATGTTTGCGTCGAAAGGTAAAAAAAAAGTCTTCGCCTAATATTGCACGCCACTTCAATTAGCAAAGCGAAGTAACTGCAATAGCAACAATGTAGCGTAATTATTGTGGCCTTTACAATTACATTTTGTTAAGTTCGATCTAGGGATTATGTTTGCCTGTCTGGTGTATTATTTTACGAATATTGAAATATATTTAGCCTCGATTTCCACTCGAGATTGTCCCTCCAATAGTTTTCCTATCGTGATTTTACAATGAAAGATTTACGATGTAACGATCTCGTCCGATTGATGTTGAATGGAATAATGCCTTAGGACTTGATATGTAATCACACTCTGATGAACAATTTCACAAGTTCGTTTATGAGTTTGATTTAAAACAAACGATTATGTGACGATTATTTGTAACTGTGATAATTAATGAACAGATATATTGTCATTAAAATGAGAGACTCGAAATTTTTACGTAATAATGCAATTTATCTTGATGAGACTTGAATAATTCTTATTGTACTCTAAACTAAATGAAGTACGATCGTATTCATATATGTGTTATGAGAATTATATAAAAAGGGAACTTCATTTTGTATGCAATTTTTAAATATTAATATTGTCAAGCGAATCAATGCTTTTATCATATGGTTTCTGATATGTAATTATATACGTATTTCGAAATGATTATGCCATTACGAATTAAATTATTTTTTAATTGAAAACAGTCGATTGGATTCTTATTACGAATTATTGATATTCTGATTCGGGCAAAGTTGATCTCTAAATGCAGTCTCTTTGCTGATAATGAGCTTTATAAAATCATATATTTATATAATTAAAAATTTTTGAATACCAAACAAATTTGTTTATTTAGTGAATATATGTGGTTTCTCAAATTCAGTTACTTCAAAGCATTGAAACGCTTCTTGCAAACGTTTATTTTGGAATATCTTGTCATTAATTTCGAATCCTTACACATTGAGCGTACATTTTTTTTCTCCAACTTACACGTAGATGTTAAGCTCTTTCAGTATATTTGCTTGTATCTATTGAGATGTCCAAAAATTCCATTATTCTACCATTCTCTCTCTGATTGTATTAAATTCTGCTTTCTCCAAGCATTCATAAATTCTTATCAGTTCAAGTACCAAGTAAATATGTATGCGACAAGTAAAAGTATGTCGCCATCTTCTAATTCGTTAAGTACACTTGTGCCCACGTACTACACATTCATTCAGAAAATGTTTTGTATCTGCATTAAAACTCCATCCGTATTATAAAGTCAGCAGCAATTTTTAATATCTATTTCAAATACACTGAAAGATACACTGAAAGAAAAGATTGGCTGCTGCAGTAATTTAGATGGTAAAATGTTATACTGTATATTTAACCAATCCTTCTTTCAGTGTATAAAAGCAAAAAAGATAAATTAAAAATTCTGTGATTATGCATTAAATTAGATTAATTTGGATCAAATATATATTAACATGTTATTCTGAATTTGTTTACACAGCACTTCCAAAGGACGTCTTGGGAATGTCCTTAGAATGTAAATATCCAGTGGACATCTTTAGAACATCCTTTCAAGATTTGTGCTGTGGATGAGCTTGGAAATAGTAGTATTTTAAATTAAAGAAGTAAATATATAATTTCTAATTTGCACTTAAATTTTTCAAAATGAATTAAAAATTTAATAGAGAGAGAGAGAGAGAGAGAGAGAGAGAGAGAGAGAGAGAGAATGAGTTATAAAATTACAAATCGCGATTCTTTGTATAATTGCTATAAGAAAGATATTTTTGTAAATGGCATTTTTATGTCATTTGTCATAAGCTGACTTTTTAACGTGGGCAAAATACAGATTTAACTTATTCGCGGTATTTGTGCATTTATCTCTATTGATATAGAGTTTTATATTTTATCGCAAGTGTTTCCACGTCTTTTACGTACGCGTTTCCATCTTGATACCGTTGATTCTTGCAAATACAATAAAAAGGTCGTTAATAAATTGAGAGTCCATTGACTTCGTCATGCGACATCGTTATACTTGACGAAGACTACACTTGAAAAATGTCATCGGAAGCCCGTGGTGCAACTCTCGTGCCGAAAATGGTTGCTGGCGTTGTCATAGGCGCGATCTCGCTGATCTCGTCCGTTTGGGTTGTGTTTACGTTGGAAGTAGTTATCGCCGTTGTTAAAGTCGCCGTCGTCGTCATCATCGTCATAGTCGTCGTTTCAATGGTGTCTGATACGTCATCTGATGTCGTCGGTACCTGCTGTAAATGTAATTTTTTCTTTGTCTAAAAACTCAATGTACGACAATCATAGTTTAATTTTTCAGTCTGCTTTACATTAATTATTAAGTACCTACATTTAATGCAACATACTTTTCAGGTTTCAAAGGATATTTTGTACGTAATGATAAATCCTTTACGGAATTTTAAAGACTCATCTATACACAGAAGTCGTAGATGGTCGTAGGATCTCAAATATTATAGTAGAAAATTGACCAATTTAATATTGAAAGGCAATAATTAATCACTTACTAATTATACTTTATAAGTATAAAATTAAAAATTTGTTGTTTGATGCTTTTTTTTAATTCTTCAAATAAATAATTACCTTCTTTTAATAATAAATTAGCCAGTATTAAATTTCTGTAAGAGATTGTAATAATATATTTTAATAATAATAAACGATTTGTTAGGACCATATAATAGGAACACACAATAAGTAAGAAATAATGCCTATAATATATTTTAAATCAAAAATTTAATGGCAAACAATATAGTGCTGCTATGGTTATCGGAATTTGAGTTTCGTAATAATTTCTCAACGTTAAATTACCACTAATGATGATGATAAACAACGATAGATGTCGAATCGCAATATCGGTCGGAAATGACTTACGTCGTTGTAAAAAACTTCCTTCCCTTCTTCGACCGAAGGCAGCAATTCGTCTGTGGAATGGGGAGTCCTAGGACTAGGCGTCGGTACCACCTGTTGCTGTTGTTGCTGCACATGCTCTCGTTGCTTAGCTAGCCGAAGTTCCTGAAGCGCCTGGCGTTGCTCCTTGTCGTTCCTCTCTTTCTCGAGTCGACGTGCGCTGTAGCTACGGGATGAGGACGTCGAACTATGAATCGACGCTAAGCTAGGACGGCGGGAACCTACGCGAAAAAAGACCACGTCGTAGGGATATCAGTGTATTCTCGAACAGTTCTACTTTCTATGCTATGAGAAATATAATATAATATTGAAAAAGGAAGTAAAAAAGATTCTATATATTATATATAAATATATATATATATACTAGATAATCTCTAATCTGAGCTAAGACTGTAATTTCTAACAATAAGTGCGAAACTGTAATATATATTCTTGCGATACCTTCAACGCGATAAATATTCGATGAAGCGGTGAGAATGGAAACTTACGAAGAAATGCCGTGCTATAAATTGAATAAACGGAAACGTGAATGAGCATACGGGAACGGGAGTAAAAATAACAGTACATTATTAAGAAAATAAACAGTAACAGTAGAGATGCAGCAATAAAAGTAAATTAATTATTAAAAATACGAACGTATATTCTTGATATTTTTTTGAAGAATTTAAATACATGCTAATTATCTTATTTAAAAACGCTAGTCTACAAAATGTGCTGTAATAGTATATTTTACAACATAATCCTTTGTATAATATACCTAATTCTGTGTGTAATATATTCTGTAAAATGATAACTCGTGCATGTTGAAATTAAATTCAAGGAAGTTAAACCGTATTTATACAGCCTTAAACATGCCTAATTGAAAAATAGCATTGGAGTAACTTATGAAATAATAAAAAGAAATTTTATAAAAATACTTTGCATTTTGTATGTATGTGGTATTAGATTTTACTAAAATTTAAAAAAATATGTAAGTTTAATTGTGTGTGATAGTGAACTGAAATAGCTTGTAAGCATGTGACATGTATACCCGTGTGAAGTTGGCCCCCCAATATTAAAAAATCGATTTTTTTCTTCATGCATTCGTTTGCTCATTGTTTGCTCACGAATGCTCAGTTGGAATTTTCGTTTGCTCACTCTTAGTTCAAAAGATTTGTGAGCAAACAAATGCATGAAGAAAAATATCGATTTCGAGGGATGATATATACATATGTTTAAAAAGCAAGTTTTTGAGAAATATATTGCCAAAGCGAGCTACAAATTATACAAAATATTGTATATATTATTTTGGTGTATAGAGACTCAGTTTTCCGGTGAGAAAATATTAAAAATGTCTATCGACTGATTGAATATTTGTTCTTCTATTATTGTTAATTTTATAAAATACTTTTCAGCTTCTCGTGGACTAAATCCACCGTGAAACTGGTCTCTAATTATTGTTGAAGTAATTGTATATTTATGTGTAAATGTGCAGCGAGCTAGCTAGTGCGTAAAGATTTCGTGTCTCTCTACGTCTTACCATAGAAACGAATCACTTGTAAACGAGCAACGAAATCGGCCGCTGCTATCTTGCTATCTCGTAACACACTTGTGATGCATTTTATTCACAATTTCATATTTCTTTTTTTTGTAAATATGGACCTATTGCCTACACGATTTTTTTTTTTAATATTTTATACATATTTACGAAAACTTACTTTATTAATTATTTTATCTACGACGTTGGCAGCCAAGGAATTATTTTAATCTCTGAGTTTTAATAAAAATGTTATATATATTTAAATCGTACTGATATGCAGGGTGTTTCCTCTAACTTGATCATTTACAATATCTCCGTTGTTTAATGAGAAAATACCACAAGAGATTTTATTTGATTCGAAGAGACATATATATTATGATGAGCAAAAAATATTATTTAGAGAAAAATTTTTTACTTATCATATGTGCCTCTTCGAATTTAACAAGATCTCTTGTGGCATTTTTTATCGTATCATCAAAAACAATGGAGATATTTTAAATGATCAAGTTAGAGGAAACATCCTGTATATTATATATTAATACGATTCTTGTTAACTATATTTAGTTGTCCTAACATCAGCGTGTATGTACTAACAACTAAAGGAATGCATGAACAGTAAATTGTGTTACATGTGATGTAAGGACAACTAACTGCAGTTAACAAGGATAATTAACTAATTATATCCAAAACTGTAAATTTGTGGAAATTGTGGAACTATAACATTTTCAACCATTGAGTAAAACTCGTTATGGATGGACGAGATTACCAAGAGCCGGGATTTCGAATGAAACATGGACGTCTAACAATAAAACAACCATCGACAACAGCTAGTTACCATGACTATGTAATAGCAACAGCGACAATGATATGATTCGGCATGAAGCATCGTTGCATTCGTTGCTACTGTCATCATTAATTGTCATCATAAATAACCTTCCTTTCGCAATTACACCACCGTTGTCAGTACAAGAAGCGAGCTGATGAACATAGAGGAAGTGAGAAAGATAAATAGAGAAGGATAGAAAGAGAAAGCGAGAGAGAGAGAGGGGGGGAAAGGGGAGAAGAAAGACAGAATTAGAAAAGACAGAGTTACACACAGCAATGATAGGAACACATAAATCTGTCACTGCCAGATGATTATACTTGTATGAATGAACACAGTGATAATGATACCGATAACAATGTTGCCCGATGAAGGCAGGCATGTTATTCTTTGTGTCATGTCGTTCACATATGAATCGAGTATATATAAACGCAAACTGAATTTTATATCTAATTGATTATCTAATTGGGCTGGAGGAAAAATTTTGTAGTATTTTATTAGCTCAGAATTATATATTGTATATTTAAAAAATTAACGATTGTATCATTCGGGGGGTAGAGCAAAGTTTTAGCTTAAAGAATTTGATTTTTTAGTTGCGGTACGTTTTTAATGGAATTATGAGCAATTAAAATCAAAATGTTCCTTTACTTAACTCACGAATAACTCGGGAACAAAAAATTGTAGGGACATTTTCTAAACACAAATCTGTTTTGGTACATAACAGATCCATAAAGTGAGAAGAAAAATTTCCCCTTGTTCAACTTATAGTTTTCTGTATATGTAAAAATTATCAAAAATTTATATAAACTAAAAAATTATAAAAACCTTTTAAGAGTAGAAATTTCAAGCTTTAAAAGCTTTTCTTCAAATTTAAATTTTGTTCATTTTCGATGAAGATATTTATGTGTATATAGTTTTGAGCTAACAAAAATCGCAGAATTTTTCCTCCATAGATCGATAAGTAAAAGACGTAAACCTCCAAAAAAGGATTACGACAGGATGTGAGGCATCCAAAGAGCAATAGAGAGAGAGAGAGAGAGAGAGAGAGAGAGAGAGAGAGAGAGAGAGAGACACGAGAGAGAGAGAGAGAGAGAGAGACGAGATCGTCTACCAGGGCCGTCAGTCGTTCCCTCGGCTACGTCACTAAGGGTACGTCGATGCTTGTTGCCGTCGTTGGTAGTCTGCAGGTGACACGATATAAGCAAGATAGCGGCGGCCCGTGCCGCACCTGCTTTGGACGCCGGTACCAGGGGTCCGCGGCTACCGCCGCTGCTGGGCCTCCTGGTGAACGCGCAGCTAAGAGGTCCGGCGCTGTCGCTTCGCTGGCTCGATCGCGACGACGGACGTCCGTGTAATGCCAGTGGTATGCCTGTGAAATTTATTTTCGGGGAGTTATTTCCGCATAAAAAGATACGAGCTGTTCGTGTAATGGACGGCGCTTTGGATCATGGCTTTTTTTCACGTTTGTGATGGACGTTTTGTTTGACCTTTTGGACGAGATATCTCGGTGAGCCAATCGTCCGACTTTTTAAACGAGATATTTCTGTTTCTATCTGTTTACTACGTCAGATATACGTTACGTGCACCGATACTGCAATATATTGCTTGGCGCGATTCAATATTTTTCGATATAAAAGAAACGGTTATGTAACCAGAACAAAATTGATACCATTTTTGTTCAAAACAAAAATAAAGTGAGATAAGTGCTCGTTCCATCGCGATGTTTGTTTTATGAGATATTTTGAAATTATTAAAAAGAAAACCATGAGTACGAACAAAAATTTCTCTTTTTATTATATTATTTTTTAGTAGGAGGACATATTTAATTTTTCCTGCTCGAAAAGATGCAAGATTTTACATTTTTTGAATTATCCTTAAAACTTTGTTCTTTTGCTGCATCTTTTAAGTATAGTTTGATGTATGACGTCATAAGTAACGAAGTGAGACGAGAATAGATACTTCTCTCTGGAATATACTATGCATCGTATCGATATATAGATATCTTCTATTGATTTCGCAGAAGCGAAAGTAGGTTCTCCACGAAGGAGAATTATTATTGTCGAATTTCTGTGTATGTTTCATACGAGGATGCAAATGATTTATGAAAATCGTGAGTGATTTGCTCATATTTTGTACGAAATAGCAAATTTCCTTCTGTACAATCATAAATTATGTGTTATTTTTTAATATAAAGATATTGTGAATTTTGAATTTAAGGGAAAGGCTCTATATTCTGAGTTTGCTTATGAACTACAATCTCAGTTTTTTATAGCCAGAATAAATGTTTTTAACTCGGAAGAGAAGATTGAAACACATTACGTAAGATTACGATAGTACACGTTTGTGAAAATGGTCTGTTTGTTATTGTACAAGCACTACGACCACTGTAATATTAGTTATAACATAAATACTCTGAGCTTTAATATTTTTTATTTTAAAAAAGTGAGATATTATAAGGCACATGTTATCAATTTTAACAAACAATTCAATAAAAGTAAGTCCTAGCAATTATTACTTATATTTGCGATTAATTTTTTTGGTAATTGCGATAATTATATAAATTCTCTGACCTACTGAACCTTCCCGTTTATAGAATATCGGAATCAATTAGCCGTTATTTATCCGTGTCACTGAAAATTTGTAGGAACGGATTAATACTTGCGATTAACTTTACAGTCCAGAGCTGACGTGTTTGTCGTGATTGCAATAACTACAAATTTTCTGATCTAGTAGACTTCATAGAATACCGGAATTAATTGGTCGTTATTTACCCGTATCACTGGAAAACAGCATGGGTGGCGCATGATTGGCATTGGCGAAATGCCGCGGCCTTGAATACCTCGCCCTGCTGAATAATTTGAGTACGAAGCATATCATCGCCGTAAAGATGGCTATCCCCGATGCTATGAAGAGTAGGGTAGGAATGTCCGTAGTTATCAGCACCAGATCTATCAGGTCAGATTACGACGAATTAAAGAAGGACACGGCACGATACGGATCGAGAGAGATATCAAAATTATCGCTTCACTCCAATCGCGAAATTTATTTCAATGCTTGCATTAATAGGCCGAATGTATACAACGTTAGACTGATATAAATGTAAACTGATTTATACGCTAAAATAGATAATAAAAATTATTAAGTCGACGGAATTTTTAATTACAAAGATGTCGCAATTGGATTACAAGAGTCTAGAATAGGTGTGATCGATGTGATCGATGTGAGAAATGTCAAAGATAAATAGTATACCCTCCGCGCAGAAAACCTTCTTGTTAGGCCTAGACAGAGCAACCCTGTGATATCCCTCCTCACAATCGCATACTGCATTGTGCTGAACCTGCGTGCACGTCGAATGTTGATCCGCAAAGGTGCATGTCGCACGATAAAAGCACTGCTCTCCGAGCTTTTTGGCTGAAAGTAAGAATCGATAGCTCGAACTTACTTATTGAGGAAACGTATCTTTTATTCAATAGGAATTTAACCAAAGTTCTATCTACTTAAATATCTGATATGGGTTCGACTCTTTCCTCAAACTGTCAACACAAAACTCCGTTTAACTCAAAGTTTTATGTCTTTGTATTGTAGCTTGTAACGTTTCCCATGATGTCTATTGATTTGTCATTTTTTAATCTGACGTTTTTGATATAAAATCAGACAAACGTTTAACTTGCATATCATAGTTTTAGAAATTCATTTATGGTTCTCTCGCGCTTTGCGTTTTGTGTAAAATAAACGAGTGCACAAAGTCTTTTCATGCCGCCGGACTTCATTCAGGCCATCAGGAGCGCGCGAACATTTATTTTCACCGACCGTTACCATGGAAGTTATGATATCGGAACGACCTACTTGTTAGACGTGAGGGTAACTAGTTGCTAGCTTTTACATACGTTTGGCACATCCCTTGGTAGGCCCGAGACGAACGGGGTAGAACTTTTCGCACTCGCAGAGGCCAGTGATTGAATCACAGAACACGTGCTGTAGCTCGGAATTGCACGAGGATACGACATCGCAAGGCGAGCCCAAGTACCGTCCTTTTTCTGCAAAGAGTCACATGAATATTTAAATTTTCACTTTAAATATCATTAAATGTTTTTCGACACACAAAGAACTCTTGATACCCGCGATAAAAAGAATAATTATGAAACCGAAAATTTACATTTGTGTTAGTTTTTCTTGACTGAATACAGTTTGAAATTATTACGGCTTATTTTTTTCTACAATATTGTTTTATATATTTTTAGAGCGTTGCGACATAAAATGTGCTTCGTAGAAAAAAGTGATAAATAAGTTACCTTTATGTGTTTATAACTAATTGAATTGCTTTCTTCAATCTGGAAATATTTTAATATTTCCCTGCTGATGCCCATCAAGATAAAAAGGACTAATACAGTCTGTATAGTTTTCTATTACACTGCAATTCGATAGTTTTATTGCAATAATATGATTAGAATGTGAACAACGTAAATGATTCCAAGTTGCGCGATTTATTAATTCAATTGTTATTGAACTTTAGATATATCTAATTGGTAGCGCGCCAATTTATTTGTTATGAGTTCACTGCCAGACTATTGTAACAGTATCCTTTGTCGATTTTGCAGCAGTGAGCCAGGCTACAATTGCTGACTCTCTTTGGTGCCTTTGACACGCTTCCGAACTGTATTGTGCGTAAATTTCCTAATCGAAATTCCCTAAAACGCAAACTGATATATTCTTCATATGCATTTAAATAAGATAAATAAATTTTCTCATTATTTATAATGGTTATGTTTATTATATAAAAGTTGCTTATACAAATCTTGTCGGTTATTAGTACGTCAATGATATATTTATAAGGTGATGAGATATAATTCGCAAACAATCAGAATATATAATATTTATCAACGAAGTTAACTGCAAACGTTTCGAGTTTGGATTACTATTGTAGTTTGTACTTAACTTTCGCACTAAAGAGAATTCAAATCTAAAGTCAAAACGTTTGCAGTTAACTTCGTTGGTACTCGTATTAGTATTTCGATTGTTTGCGAATTATATCGTCGCTTAATACTACTAATAATCGCGGAGATTCATATGCACAATTTACTTGTATAATATATTTAATTTATTTTTGAAGCTACAAAACTATTTTTATTTTAATTATAGATTAACTACAAAAATAAAGGATTGATTTTTTATTACAAATATTGCAAAGTTTCTTCTTAAGTCTTTTATAATAAATATATATATATATATATTCTTATTTGCAATTTTAAATATATATAGATATCTTTATTTGTGAAGGCTTACAGCGCGCTTTTGCGCGGGCTATGTTATTCGGATCAACACATAAATTGCTTATTTAATGACAACGACAGTCGTGCGTGATAAATGCGCTTCGTGTCATTTAGCGGCGCTATGGACGCGTATGCAAATGCAGAGATTTCAATATTACAGACCTCATTGTCTTGCGGATAATAGCGTCCGTGCAATACAGTTTGTGTGTCGTTTTGCGATGGTCGCGTACTCCTTCAGTTTTACAGTTGAAAATGCACGCGGCCTCGACTGGATTTTCTTTAGCAGGTCGCATTTAAATTCACACTGATTAAAGTTCATTGCACGCGTACGCGTTACTGCTACGTCGCGTGTGTTTTATCAAGCTCTCTCATCAAGCGAAAATTTAGATTCGCGTGATTTACGGAGAGTTTAACGGAAAGTTTTAATAACGTCTGATGGATTAGCACGTGCAGTTATATACACTAAGTATAATTAAGAAATTATGCGTTTCAGCCATTAACATTATCTTAGATTACATTAATCAAATAGGTACAAAGTTCCAAAAAGCATGTCAAATTAAGTGAAAAGATATTTTAATGAGCACACTTATATCGCGCTTGCTAACTTTAATTATTCGCGTGTAATCATTTATATACTTCTCGAGCAGCTTATATCTTTTAATTGGAAATTAACTCTTTATTAACAACATGAAATTTTAATTCTTCCGTGAGCCTTCGAGAAATTGGGATTTTTTATTTGTTCTGGGTTATATAAAAATCTGAAAAATTTTGGTATATTTGTCAAAGCTTTAACATAAGTTTTTATCATCACAGAAGTTGGATTGTATTTTTTATTTTTAAAGATTTTAATTTATATATACCGAAATTCATAATCAAAATATCGATGTTATTTTAAAAAATTCTATGTTGCCGGTGAAGACTTTAGTAAATTTGAAAAAATTGATGCTCTTCTCTCGTTTTGTCATTTATCAACTTTTGTATTACGTACAACTATAACTATTGCGACTAAGTTTTGTCCTTTCCATTAATCCGTTTGCATCTTTTCATTCGATTGCATCTTTCTAGTTGAAAATATAGATGAAAGAGCAACAAAATTGTACGCCGAGAAATGCACTATCCCTTCCCGTGATGAGCTCTACTTTTAAAAAGAATGTAGGCACAACGTGCAGTTCAACTAACACACGCGAGACTAGGGAACGGAGCTTGCAGCATCCATTAAAATCAATACCGGTGGCGTTCCTGGCGCGAAAATCAAGAAGAACATGTTTCCTTTTCAGTTAACTCGACGCGTGCGGCGTTAAGACGAATCGCTGGAGGCACTTTTCATATCCTTTAGATAGAACGTAAGAATAGCGCGTTAGGTGTTTATAATATAAAATCGGAAAGAGATAAGTATAAGAAGATCAAAGCGAGATAAACGAAATAAAAATTGGTCTTTATTGAAATAAAAAAATGTGCATAATACAAATGGCATTTAACAAAAGTATAAATGTTTAAATAAAACATTTCATTAAAACATTAATTAGTATAATTTTTTAAAGTTGAATGGAATATTTTAATAATTATTGTAGTTGATTTAAAATTGTTGCAATTAAAAAAATTTTTTATCATAATTTCGAGTAATTTAAACAATTATTTTTTAAAAGAAAAACCATATTTAATAAGGTTTACTAAAAATGACAGATCGTATTTTTTTTAATCAGCTAGATTAGATAGGTTTCATAACTTTATCTTGAAAATTGTGTTTAAATATTTGACGAATTAATTTAATCACTTTCGAAGATACATACATTAGAAAATGAAGATATACCTATATGCTTTAATGGATGAACATTCCAGAGTTAAGTGTTCGTATAATGTGGAACAGGTGCATACAGAGAGAAGTTTGAGATACACCATCTTCGTCGATCTATTGTCTTGCGTGAAAATAGAGCATTGTTGTGTCTAGGACGAACATGTTTTGATTATAAATTACGTTAAATGAATGTTAATTATTGAATAAACTCAAGCGTAATTATAATAACTTTATCTATTACTCTGCTCGTTTATTTTTATAGCGTATCTTTCTTTGCATTATTTAATTTTCGCCTAATTGTTATTTCATTTTCTCAAACAATTCTTGACTCGTAAAGTAATTCTTTCGCACAATTGGATTAGCATAATTAACTCTTCAGAAACTTAGCATTATTTTGTCATGTTTCCTTAATTTTTATATTTCTTTTCTATATTTATCATATTTCTTGATATTATTTAATTTTTTACTGATAATTATATATAGAAATTAGTTTTTTTAAATTTTAGAAAAGATGATAAATTTATTCATTAAGAAAGTTATATTTCAACAAGTTTAAACGATGTTTGATGTTTAAATTTGATTTTGTTCTCACCTACATCGCCTAGGTAACGAACTAGCATCACAATGCTATTATCGAATCTTATGAATTTTAGCTTCCTTTTTTAAAACGTCCGATTCTGTAATATATCGGTGACTTTTTTCGATTTACAAATTTTAATACTCATACATCACTCATCGGTTTTGATAGAAATTCTGATCGACGCGTTTCGATAGAGATATACTCGAAACAATTTCTACCATGTGTAGCAAATCATGTATAAAAAATTGCCATTATCGAATTTTAATTTAAGTTCAATATCATCGCCGGAATAATTTCCGTCAAACAGTTATTCTCCTGCTATCGATTGCTATATTATTCAGTTGATATGCGCGAATCGCGCTCCTAAAACCTCTCACCCGTAAAATTTGCGAACCAGTCTTCGTCGAGGTCGCCATTGTCGGTGGCTATCTGCTCTTCCTCGTAGACCTCGGCGTCGTCGTCGAGGTAGCTCGACTCGTACACCGCCGCGTCATCATCACCTACCGATTGCTTTTGAGCCGGGCTTATTATTTGCTGCGGCGTGTCGCTGGTGCAGGGTGCAGGTATCAGGAAGACGACGAGGCAGGCTAGCAGGAGCCAGCAGCAGCAGCAGCAGCAGCAGGTCAGTCTCAGGGCGGAGGGAAGCGCGCTCATCGCCCCCGCGGCGCGGATCAACCCCCGAAACCGACCACCGACGGCGCATCGACATCCTTCCCCGTCGCCTGCTCTCCCCTCCCTCCCTCCCGCCCTCCCGACCTCCCCGGCGCACCTTCGCGCCGTCGATGCCCCAGGGAGAAGCGCCTTACGTCGCGTTCGTCGTGCGTTCGTCTACGTGCGTCCGTATCTTCCTACGTGGTGGCGTAATAAACGTTATTACCACTGCGAGTCCGCTGTGCGCTCGCACGAGCGTACGCGAGCGTACCGCTCGATGGCGAAACTTGATAACTACACTGCACGACGAATACCACGAAGTGACACACCGACCGTTTCGGGCACCGCTCGAAACCGCTCCGCCTCGTTCACTGAACGGTCCTCGCGGGGCAAGAGCGACACGGCTGCAGCTGCGCGCGGCCGCTACTCCGACGCGACGGGCGTCGCGGCGCCCCGCTTCGCCGTCGGTCCACATCACGTCGATCGAGAACACGGGGTTAGTCGCCGTGGACCTCTCTCTCCGGAGAGAGTGCAGGGGTGGCGGATGCATGTATGTTCATTAGTTTATCGGTCAGCCGATGCCATTAGTTTTCATCTTTCTCTTCCTTGCGCTAAGAGACTACTGTCTCTCGCATCGTTTAGAGAATTGATGCGCATCGAGAAATCCCTTTACAAATTCATTCGGCGCCACGAGTGAGCGTGTCGGTTTACCGAGTGTTAAGTTACGGCGTGGATCGCCGTAATCGATTCGCATTCGGGAGAAGGGATAAAGGCAACGAGAGACCAGCACGCCTCCAGCCTTTGGTTGGAGTTGAGTCTTATCGCGGAATAAAGTTTCGCTGCATTATCGTTGACGGACATCTACTGGTGGCAAGGCTACAACTAGGGCAGTAATTACAGTCTAAAGGAGGTGACCGATATGTTGCGGCCATATACGCCGAAAATATTTAGAGAATGTTCGTTATTGTCGAGCAGTGTTAAACAGTTTCAATTACGTCATGTCTTGACATTACATTGCCTGTTCACACGAAGCTATTCATGGACCAATGATAATGTTAACGATTCACTGCAATGGAATTTATCCCAGTAAATTATAATAGCGTTCGCGTTAGATGAATTATATTGTGTGAGAAACAGTTTTTCTATAAACAAAAATGTGATATTGTAATGTCGGTATTATAAACAAGCACGAAAATATAAGATAAACAATCTTTATTAAATAATATCATTAATCAAATTACGAAACGCTTCGACTCATACAGAAGTCCTCTTCAGTCATATAATAAATATTAGAAATAACATTAAAAATAAAATATATGGAAATCCGTCTAATAGTCATGTTTTTAGTCAAGTCATTAGTGAAAGAAAATCATCACATAAAGTAATATTCGCATCATGATTCTAACATTATAAAATTTTAAATTGATAAAATATTATAGTAAAAAAGAATAAAATAACTCAGATAGTGTATAGAACTTACGAAAATTTCAGATGCTCTATGTACAATTTTCCTTATTCCAATTAAAATGATAAAAAGTCAATTACAGATGTTCTATGTAAAACAGTTGTCACAAGAATAAAGGAAAATATGTTTTAGTTGTCGAAATGTCAAAACTTATTTGTTATTAAGATGGTAAAAATCAAAACAAACAATCATATGTTTTGTCTAATTTTAGACAAGAGGAGATCCTTCAAAATATTCTGTCTTGTCGGAACATTGCATTCAGTATGATCATACTTTTGACTGGGACAATGTTCAGATAATGGATGTTGAATCTCATTACAATAAAAAACCAATTTCAGAAATGCTTTCTATTAAAAAACAGGAGAATGGTATCAATGCACAAAAAGACATTGAAAAATTAGACAAAACATATGATTGTTTGTTTTGATTTTTACCATCTTAATAACAAACAAGTTTTGACATTTCGACAAAACATATTTTCCTTTATTCTTGTGACAATTGTTTTACATCTGTAATTGACTTTATCATTTTAATTGGAAGAAGGAAAATTGTACATAGAGAGCATCTGAAATTTCCGTAAGTTCTATACACTATCTGAGTTATTTTATTCCTTTTTACTATTTTATCAATTTAAAATTTTATAATGTTAGAATCATAATGCGGATATTACTTTATGTATAATGATTTTCTTTCACTAACGACTTGATTAAAAAACTCTACTTTATTGTTACAATTGTACTATCATCATTATTATGTAACTATTACAATTTATTCTTGACTGTCTCCTTTGGAGTGAGATCTCGTTGCAACAAAATCTCGGTGCCATAAGATTCTCGCACAGAGACATGTACCAACGGTCCTGTTGGAATAAACATTTCAAAATAGTTATCTCATTGTCTAATAAAATATAATACAATAATAATTATAGTTCTTTGTTTTAATATTTATAAAAATGAGGAGAGCATCTTAAAAAGAGATTTGATATCGCGGATGTTGTGAATTTATCACTCGCGTAAAGTGACATTTCTGATAATTTATACGTACAGCTAAAAGTAGTCCGTAATCATTTTAGTTATACTCTTGTTGAAGTTATGTGTGATAAATTTTGGAAAATTGCAACCAATTTCTCCTTTTGGCGTTTGCGATATATAAAATATGCTTTCGCTGTTAGACCTATGGCTACTACTATAATGACAGTCACGAAAGACCAAATTATTTTGGCATCCGTAATTGAAGTATTATAATGAGACGTCATGTAACAAGGCAAATCTGCAATAAATAAATAAATAAAAATAAAAGGATAGTACAATAGAAATAAAGCTAATGGATTAAAATATTTTTTTATAATAGATAAAATTATATATTATATAAAAGAATCATATTTTTAACATTTTATATTATTTTTATCAGTTTATACTTTCCTGTAAACACACAAGCTTCTGTTTAAACTTTTTTTAAGCTAGTTCTATATTTTTAAAATTTTATAAAATAAACTAGAAGTGTTTAATTTGTTTTTTATGGAAAAAATTTTCTGATATTTTGTGAATAATGTTTACTAATTTTTTAGAAGAGTTAATTATTTATGCAATACACACAACTCCGCCTTCATTCGTTGTTATATCGACATTAATATTTATATAATTTGTATAATTAAATGAAAGTTACTTTAAAAGAAATTATATTATATAATAGTTATTTAAAAATAATGTTTTCTCAAATTATTGAAATTCTATCACACTTCTGAAAACAATGTAATAATAACAAAATTTAAAAAGACATTAGCTAAAATTTTTCATAGATAATTAACAAAATGTTTGCCATTACAACTGAAAACGTCATTGTTTTTCTAAGCTGTAAATACCTTTATTAAACAAGCAGCTGATAAAAAACGTATTGCCTTCATATTGCATATAGCAAAGTGTTTCGTTGTCAATAGATTTGTCGCATTCACAATACGGCATGTTCTCGAAGAATCGTATATCGATTTTTGCACTATCATTATGAATTGTGATACTGCAATGATATATGCAAATTACAAAACTCGTCTAGCAAAGTATCGAATAGCTTTTTGTGAGAAACGGGAAACAGGCGAGTCGATAGTATTCACCTGTTGAGATCTTCGTAATCGTCAGGCATCACCATCATGCACATGGTCGGTTGTTCGCAGTCCTGTCCAGTCCATCCGCGGTAACACGCGCATTTATAGGTAATGTCAATATCGTCAATGTGGTCAACGACACAGTCGCCACGTTCGCTACAGTTACGGTGAATACATTCGGGGATGCATTCGGGGCCCAAATGATGGTTCAAGTTCAGTACGAAATCATTACGACAAATGCATTTATTTGGGCCTATGCAGTCGCCGTTCTTGCAGCCCCTTTCGCAAATCGGGTTGCAGATGATCCCGTATTGCAACGCAAAGCCGTCGTGGCATTCGCAACGATTTGGCGCCGTGCATGTCCCGTTGGAACACGCTGGGTAGCAGTAGGGTACGCAATCACCGGCCGTGCCCCTTACGTAACCATCATTGCAGATACAAATGCCGGATTCGTGGCATATCTCGTTAACCCCGCACGAGAACTTGGTGCAGCGAGATCCAAGAAGAGGACGACAAATGCGTTTAAGCGAACTGTTATATAGAGGAGAATGAGGCTCGATCCACAGTGGATAGTGATTCCTGTTGCAAGTGCACACGTTTGGTGCGGTGCACATACCATTGATGCATTCGAAGTCGCAAATTGGTTTACAGGCATTCTAGTTTAGACCAAATAAATTCTTATAAGTTAGTTGCGATTAACGAATTATTCAAAAATATTGTAATAGATTCTTTTAAATTTAACAATTGCTTCGAATCAATAATACATGATGAAATACAATATAATTTTACTGTACAATCTTTACATCGTATTGGATATTATTGATGTCAGTAGCTACTCAAGGATGAAAAAATCGAATATATACTGGCTATTTCAGTCGTGGTAACAAAGCAAATTCTAGCTAAATTTATAAAAGATTTTATTTTAAAAAGGAATCTTCGAACTCTTTGTCTCTCCTTTAAAAGATCTCAAGTAAAACATGATAAACGTTTTTTTAATCTTGTGCGTGGTCTCAAAGTTGGAGTTATATATAGAAACGTATTAATCCTATCAAGTACTTCTTTTAATGATTATAATTTAGAAATTAATTAGAATTTGATAAATATGTTCATTGCGAATAACTACAATTTAATTAAAATAATCTTTTACTGACATTAAAAAAATATTTATAAAGAATTATGATTTCGAAAAAAAATCGCTTTCTCGTGAAGATTGAAACCTTTCTTTAAGCGTGATGAGTTCATTTTAAACATTGTGTCAAGAATTATGGTAATAATAAATAAAATAAAACTTACATCTTATTGTACAGTTATACTTGCCATTGTTATGAAACCTATCCTTGCGAGCTTATCTTTTGAGGAAAATGAATTAATAAATCTGCGATATCCTTTGGAGCACCTGCATACATTGGGCGCTACGCATTCTTCGTGTAGTCCACAAGGCATCGAGCAGTTTGGCTTGCACGTTTGATTCGTTTCGTCAAAAACGTATCCACTATCGCACTTCGGTTTGCATTCGTATGAGAAGTTGATCAGTTCGTAGCCGGAGAGGCATGTGATGCAATAGTTAGGGGCTATGCAATCAAGGCAATTAGTGCAGCCGTTAATGCAGCATATTTTAACGGCCAAAATAATGATCACGCCGTAAAGTAACTCCATGATTTGTAGCTCTTACTATGAGATCGATATTCACTGTGATGTTTAAACTGACCGTTGCGATGTTTCCTTCCTATATATCATCTCGTTTATCTTAATAGGGTTTATGTGTGTATATGCATTAACACATTTCATGTTATTCTTTAAAAGCAGGATGTTATGTACTATCAGAAAGTTATTCAAAGCTTGCATATGTATTCGTAGCGTAAAGCTCGTTTTAAAGTATTGATACCATTCGTGTTGAAGAAAATTCTCTCGAGACAGGATTATTAGAAGCGTAAGCATTTATTTTAGTATAGAAAATATTATTTTTATTCGAAAATAGAGGCAAACGTATAGAAGGTATATATATTCCTCTATTTTATTTGTACATACAGGATATAGGATATTCTAAAAAGAAATTTCTAAAATAAAAAATTAACAAAAATTTAATAGTAATTTATCATATTAACGATTTTATCAGGAGTACATATCTTGTAATTTTACCTTAATTTATAATTGATTAATTAAGTTAATAAAAATAATATTATTATCATTAGTACAAGAAGCTTATATATTAAGATTTTACAAATACTTTTCATATTAAGGGCTATCAGAATTTGATTCAATTAGTCCTTGTGTCGACGTATTGTGCTTGCAAATTATCTGAACACTGCCTGTCAATAAAAATAATAATTTATTAAACTTTTTATTTGCTTTTTGATATTTATATCTCTAATATTTTTTACAAAACTAAATTTAAAAATATATAAATATAGATTTCTAATATATTAGAGTTTGAATAAATCTAACTTTATTTTCTATTAGTGGTAATTGCTTAAGTGCTTTCTAAAAAGATCTTTTCTTTAATCAAATGTTTTGTTATATATTTATCTATCTTTATCTTTTAAACCATTTTACAATTAACGCTGAATTAAATAAACATGCATAATTGAAGAAAAATTTAATACACATTTTATTTCAGATTTTAGATATAATATGTCCAATAAAAATTAATATAATATGAATACCTAGCTCCAATTGACTACTTCGACGTTTTCGCGATACCACGTATATGGTTATTGCTGTTAGAAGTAATATTCCACCTATAATTCCACTTATTACTTTGATCATTTCTCCTTTCTCATATTGACTTAAATTGCTCAGTGGGAGGCATTCTAGTATAAAGAAATGATAAGAGAAATTCTTATCAGTTTATTGAGGAATAATATTTTAGAACTATTATGATTCGTACAAATTTATTAAAAAATTAAAGCATAGTCTTAAAAAAATAATTTATATTACGTAAAAGAATATTAACTGTATTGCGAGTACAAATCTATTCAACGAAACACAAGAAATTCTAAGTTAATATTATTAGTTTTTTAACAAATTTATATGATTAAAAAACTTGTTTTAAACTTTTTAGCTTTTTAAATGTAAAAATGCATTAAATTTTAAATATATTAATTTTTACTTTAAAGTTTAAAATATAAATCTATTTATAACAAACCTTCATTCATTAAGCAACCAATTTCCGCCTCATTCTCTGTATTATTGCCAAACATCTTAAAACACATAGTTTCATTGTTTATTTTATGAATGCACTCGATACAAGCTGGATTATATTTAAGTATATGTTCAATCGTAGTATTCTTTTCTTCTATAATTTTTAATCTGCAAGAAATTAATAATTAACAGATAATTATTTGTGAGCAACTTATTTCAGACATGATCATAAAACCAAATTCTTCTGATAATATAAAAATATCTTAACGTTGCGCTCATTTTTTTTTTTTTGTTAATAACGTAAATAAAATTATTTCGTTACATGATAAAATGCTTAAATATATTATCCATTATAATTTTTATCCGTTCTACGAGAAAAAGATAAATTTATAAGGTACTTTATGTACACTCACTGCTCAGTTCTATTATCTCCATCCTTCAAGATTAAGACACACAATGTTGGGCGATTGCATTGTAATCCAGTCCATCCGTAATAACATTCACAAGTCCCGTATTCCTCAACGCACTCGCCGTGAGTACCGCAGCCATCCTGACACGCGTGCACGCAGGTACCTTCGACTTTCACGAAACCAGCATAACAACGACATTCTCCTGGTGCCATACACTCGCCATTATCGCAATTCTCGCAATGCGGCAGGCATCTACTTCCGGGTCTCGTTCTATTTTCGGGAGCAACCGAAGATCGAGAGCTTTTTACTCCGAATCCGAGATTCGGATTCGCAGGAACGAATCCATCGTTGCATTCGCAAACCTCGGGCGCAACGCATGTGCCGTTGCTGCAAGTCGAGCAGACGGGCTCGCACCCGCCAATTTCCGCGTTTCGATAACCATCGAAACACGTACAGAGATCCGGCGCCGTGCATGTGCCGTTGCCACATTCGACGCCACAAATTGGCTCACATCCAAACGGAACGTTTTTCCCGTCGTAATAAACCATGCGGTAACCATCCTTGCAGACGCAGAGATCGGGCGCCTCGCAAATTCCGTTTGTCTCGCAAGCCGGATGACAGATAGGGTCGCACACTACCTTAGATTTCATCGACGAACGATAGCCCGGATTGCAGCTGCATACATCGGGTTGTACGCAGATACCGTTCTTGCAACTCGGATTGCAAATAGGCTCGCAGAGGCTCGTACGATTGCCTTCGGTAGGTTGGTAGCCCGAGTTGCAGATGCATTTGTTTGGCGCAGTGCAATATCCATTGATACAATCAGTCTCGCAGATCGGCTGGCATTCGTACCAGGAATTGGATAAACGATAGCCCGAATCGCATTTGCAAGCCTCAGGTGCGGCGCAGAAGCCGTTGACGCATCTCTGGCTACATGTAGGTAGGCAGAGATAGTTGTTTATCGGCTGATAGCCGAAAATGCAACTACACGTAAACGGAGCGCTGCAGAATCCATTTATGCATTCCATCAAGCAGATCGGCTCGCAAACCGAACCGCTAAAATGTAGCAAATTCTGAAAACCAATTCGTGTGAATCTAAAGAATAAGCTTATAAAGCTTCTTGCTTTACAGCAGAAGCAACAATAGACTTTAGAAATATTTAGCTTAGATACAGATTTGATATAATTATTATTTAAAGTCGCTAAAATAAATAACTATTTTATTTATAGTCAAGCGATAATTATAGATCTTGGATTACTGTCACGTTTTACATTTAATATCATCTCTCTCTTGCTAGTTTAATACTAACGATTTTTTCGATTTCCGTCTTATTAGCCAGGCGATATCCAGAAAAACAGGAGCAAACATTCGGCGCGGTGCACACGCCGAACGGTTCGCAAGAAGTTTCGCAGTAAGGCTTACAAATGTGCTCTTCTGTCTCGTCGCCACTTAATTGGAATCCTTCGTTGCACATGCATACGCCAGGCGCAGTGCATCGTCCATTGAGGCAAGCCTTTTCACAGACTGGTTCGCAGATATACTTTGAATTCTCCAGCAGCCCGTAGCCCGCGAAGCAGCTACAACTTTCAGGAGCTACGCAAGTCCCCATAACGCAAGCTTCACTGCAAACTGGTTCGCAAACGTTCGAGGTGTTCAATGAGTAACCCTCGTTACAGGTACACACATTGGGAGCAGTGCATTCGCCATATAGACAGTCACGCTCGCACTTAGGCTTGCAGGTAAATAAGTCGGGTATATCAAGCTCGTAACCATCATCGCAAGTGCAGACATTGGGGGCTGTGCACTTGCCATGAACACACTCTCTTTCACAAATAGGCTCGCACATCTAAATACACGAGAAAGTGTAATCTTTATTATATAATATTTTTTGTATACTCTTTTTTTATTTATAAGATGTCCTATAAAGATCCGAACGCTTAAGAGGAGATTCCTGAGATTATTTTGAGACGGAAATTCTAATTATCAATACCAAATATTGAGGTTATAATAATTTTTAAATTTGAATCCCAGGAATCTTCTCTTAAGCATTCTTCGGGTCTTTACTCGACACTTTATATAAAACTTATCTTTGATCTTAATATCTTTCTAATTAATTGTGACAATCATTATTTTTATGACATGCTTAACACTTATTTAATCTTTTAACTTTTATTTCGTGTTCAGATTGATATTATATTAACTAAGTTGAATTTAAATTAAATAAATAATATTAAATCCCATAGGACCCCGTACATGTGAGAACACAACCAATAGATCTTTAACGGTTTATAACTGAGTCTAACTGGTGGCTAATCTTAGGTGCTTGTATACTCCCGTGAATTATTTATATATACCGGAAAGATCCGTGTGAATTTATATACTACGTTTAATCCTTTAAAACTGCGTGTTAAAATGATTTTTCGGTCTTAAAACGCAAACTCTACTAAACTACCGCAATAATATCACGAGTTACATTGATTCGTAATTTAATAATTCGGTGCTCTCTTTACGCACATCTTAGAATGTTCGTAATGTTGAATGACGTATTAAAATCTGTAAATAATTAATTCTTATTGTGAAAATTATTTCGGCCAAGAATTAAACCCGGATCTCTAGCATTTCGTGCGACCGTCTTAGGTGTTTAGACTATCGAGGCCTTAATAATGTTCTTCGCAATAATTGGCATATGTAAAAACAATGTCTATTTCAAGCGGAATTATATAAGCATCTAAAATCCAGCTATAGGCATTATTTAAATTAAATTAATAAATCAAACAAATTGTTTCTATTGTTTACTTACATTAGTTAATTCAACGTCACTGGAAATGTTTTTATATCCATCCAGACAGAGACATTGGTCAGGTTTATAGCAATATGATCCTGTAGGACACGATAAATGGCAAATAGGTTCACAAATGTAACTACTGTTTGTCAGTTTGTATCCAGAATCGCACATGCAAGTGTCAGGTAAGACACATTTGCCATGTATACAAGAGACAGAACATATAGGAGCACAGCCGACGTCAGACTCTGAAGTTTTAGTGTCCACAAAAAAGTACCCAACATTGCAGAGGCACACGTTTGTTTTCGTGCACGTACCATTTCCGCAAGGAGGTCGACAAAATGGTTCACATTTTGAATACAATTTTGAATTTAAAACGTCCCAGTAGTATTTACGTTCAAATCCATCACAACACTCGTATTCTAAGCGCCATGATTTGCGAGACTAAGAATAGAAACAAGATTTTAAATATTATTATAGTAATATTTATTTATATGCGTAAAAGTATGTAGAGTGCTAAACAAAAAAAACGCTGTCTTTGTGGAGAATAATATTATATAAATACACACACAGAATATATTTGATAAAAGATGACTTGATTAGCAGAGTGACACTTATTGAAAATTGAAATAATATCTTTTAAATAAAAATTTAATAATAGTTTTAAAATTTTGATATTAAATATACAAAATATAAGCTGTAAATTTAATTGGAGGTAATATATTATTATATCAGTAATTACTATTTTTACTTTTCTATAATTTAATTCGTTCTTTTTTTAATCATTTATCTAAAAAAATTATATCTTATGTTGCGAAATAATTATTTTATTTTCCGATAAATATAAATATCATTCTGTGCGCCAGACTTATGTATTTAATACGTTTTAAATTTTGATTCTATCATTTTAATGAGAATATTACTTGGAATAGAAATTCTATGGCATAAAAATTCTTACCTCAATTTTATAATTCCATCGAACGCGGGTTTTAAAAAATATACCCCATGTTTTTTCCTTATACGTTTCCAAGTATGGAACTTCAACTGTTTCCATAAAACTGTAAACAGCGCATAATTCTAACATTATTAGCTCACTTACCGATTATACATTGCGATATCATTAAGCATTATTTTTATTCATAGAATATAGCAAATTTTACCTAATAAGTTTACTACAATTTCCCACAGAATTATCACTTGAAGTTATAGTAAGCAATTCCACGTTAGTAATCAATTCATTTTGTAAAACGACAAGAATAAATATTACGTACAAAAGTTTCATAATTGCCGAATATATTTCAACATGTGAAGAGAGATCCAAATGAGGACAATCGATCAGCGTATTGTTAAAATGTGTGGCGAAGTATATTACGTCGCAACTTATACTGAAGCTTCTTCTCCTCTTTGAGCTATGAGAGTAGCCTGCTATCAGAATCCGACAGGATGTTAGCTGTTGTCAGGCAGCTACAATTAAATCCAAGTGAATCTCTGCTTATCAGCAAAGTGAGCTTCTTTAATTTTAATAGTTCTATTTTACATAAATTGCCAACAACTTTTGCAACATTTGGCGCTACAATCATTAATTTATTTGTACGTACAAAAGAGATTACATGCGAATAAACAAAATTAAAATTTTATTAAAGACAAGTTGACGAAAATTCTGAGTAAAATGCTATACTATCGTTTCCAGTTCATAAACCGTGAATCATGTTGGGTACAAAGTACTTCGCATCTCATTGTGGAAATAATAAAGATATATTAGATATATATAAGTACATATATATAGTATATATATAACACTAACAGTTGCGGAATATCTTGTGAATCGTTTTTAAGAAATATGCATTGCGTCGAGCTCTGGAGAGAAACTGCATAATTGTTTTATGGCGTAAACGAATCGATTCCGCGTGTTTAACAGTGCATAAACGGGAACGTACGTTTTCTTGAGCGAAACTTATGTGAAGTTGACGTATTAGGCCAAGGATGCAGTCCGCATTAACCTATTTACAATGCAATAACATTAGTTTAAAATATACTGCACGCGATTACATTTGTAGTTAGTCATAATGTCATTTTTACATATTCTTTTATAAGATTGTAAAATTTATAGAGCGCTTCTATTTTTATACATGACTTTATAATCAATTTTTATGATTTATTGCAATTAACGTATTCATTTGTCATTGGAGTTTTACATATTTAACTCTGTTTATTTACTTCGAGAAGATTATGTTCTCTGATTATACAACGATATTCATAGTTATCGCAATCTTAGAAGCTTTTAAATGTATGAAAATATTTTATTTTATTTTCATATTATTATTTTTTATAAAGTCGCCGTAATTATTAATTTAGATATATCGCGCGAAATAAAAGACACATAAGAATTATGTATAATTCACATTATCAGTTTATTTATACAAATTCAGAGTTAATTTCATAATTATAGTCTGAAATTATTAGTTTTATCAAACCACATTGTTTTTAATATCTAACCATGTTTTGTATGCCAATTTGTTTATTCTGGGACGCATCTCTGCCGACCCTTGACACCTTCCTTCCGGTATCCGGGATTGCATATGCAAAAGTTTGGCAAGGTGCACACACCGTTCGGACATCCACCCGCGCACACCGGTACGCATCTTGAACGCGTACGATCGTAGTCGTCGTACCTGTACCCATGATTGCAGGTGCATTGATCCGGTCCAGTGCAGCGGCCGTTCAAGCACGGGTACTGGCACATGTCCGCGCTCGTACTTACGTATGGAATACACCTTCCGGTATCGGGATCAATGCGGAATCCCGGATCGCAAACGCACGAGTTTGGACCAACGCATCGGCCGTTTGGCCCGCAACCGTATCGGCATTGCGTCGCATTAACCGTGGGTGTCGTCATAGCGATGCATCTGCCAGTGTCGGGGTCGACGGTGAATCCAGGTTCGCAGGTGCACCGATATCCGACGCACACGCTATGCGGACCGCAGCCATATCTGCAATCGCCGATGGGCTGCGATATCGGGGTTGTCGTTACGGGGATGCATCTGCGGGTGTCAGGATCGACGGTGTATCCGTATCCGCACTGTGCTGAACTTGTAGTACTCGGTACGCATCTACCGTTGTGGCGGTCTCGCGTGTATCCAGGTCTGCATCTGCAAAAGTTGGGTGCGACGCATTCGCCGTTGGGACAACCGTTCGGGCAATGCGGAACGCAAGACTCGGTATCGCCGTAAGCGTTGGTGTATCTGTAAAACAATTTACGATATGATTTATACGCTTTATCGATCAGTCAACAAAGAAGAATGTTAAAAAATTTTGAATTGTTAAAGAATTTATTATTAAGGGACAGCATCCGTAAAATGTCCCACTAAGAGACACAAAAGTCAACAAAAATGACTTTATTTTAATTCTCAACGTCAATATGTTTGTAACAAAAAAATCATTGTTTTTATTCGATTGCATAACGTCAAAATAAAGTTATCTTGACTTTCTCTTGACTTAGATACATAAGATCAACTCAATACTCATTCTGCAAAACCAGTAATCTACAAAGTTATTACATTATAACGCGTGACTGCACTTCAAGCGGCAACATTATCTACGTAGATGTGTTACGCGAAAATTACAAAACGACTGATTTATCTGTATGCTAGCGATTTCACGCACGATGTATAATTGCCTTTAAAGTACAATATACATTTGACGAGTTTACAACCGTTGATTTCATATCTGTTATCGCAGACAATCCGCTTTGTAGGAATAGATTATTTACTATACGTAATGTATTACGTGCGTAAATCAGAGTTTAATTATCGCGCGAAATGTCGATGAGAAAGACATTGCGCAGTCGGCGGAGATCGGAGAGATTCAAGATATCGGTATTTGATTACCCTTCGTCGCAGGTGCACACGCCTGGTGCGCTGCACAGGCCGTGCACGCAACCGCCCTCGCACGTCGCCGCGCACTCCTTGCGTTCATTCAGAGCGTATCCCTGCCTGCAGCTGCAGACGCGCGGTGCCACGCACTCGCCTTGCATGCATCCGTCAGGACAGATCGGTTTGCATTGGCCGTCGATCTCGTCGTAGCCCAGTCTGCACATGCACACCTCGGGCGAGAAGCAGTAGGCATTCTCCTGGCATCGATAGGAGCAAACGGGCATGCAAACGCCATCCTCGGAACGCCATCCCGACGGGCAGCTGCATACGTTCGGGGCTGTGCAGCGGCCACCGAAACAACCGCGTTCGCATTGCGGTTCGCATAGGCCGCTCGTCACATTGCGCACGTAACCGTCGCAACAGTCCAAGATAGTGATCCAACCGTCAGGCTGACGAATAGAATTTGTCTTATAATCCCTTTGACGCGGTCAAAGCTATTTAAATTGTTTACGTTCGAGTTTTTTTCAGAGAGAGATTCCTAATCGAAATGCACAGAAAATATCGCATTCTGAAATTTTATCTCTCAAGATATCTTTGTTTATAGAGAATAAATTTAAGAATTTTTTCACAGGTCTTTTATTTTGAAGAAACACGATTACTTACAGGATGGCCACCTTCGTATGGTTGAGGAATAGTATTGTAAAGCGATCCGCTGGCGTTTAAAGCTAAAACATGGCTGTAACTGAAAGGCGTGAATTCTAAATATTATTTTGAAGCAATTTTTGTACGAAAGAGTGCAAGCAGAAAATAATGTTCGCGTCGTCAGAATTACGACGTTCGTCTCGAATTGAAAAAACTGATCACTTACGGCACTCTTTTATGGCAAAGGCCATTTTGCGAAAAGTTACTGCTACTGTAACTTCCGCTTGTAGGATAACGCGGCCGATGCCCACCTTTGACACCGTCAATCGCCCAGGTGCCAACACTGAGGCACGTAAAGACAATCAAGCAAATTAGTAATCTTTGCATGTTGCATGAACGATTGCGAATTTAGTACTGAACTTATTTTCGGTCAGAGAGTGGGCATCTTCGCGATAAGAATGTTGCAAAGGTCATCGGTTTTCATCTTCTCTCGTTAAATTTCTGATTAAACTACGCAACATTCCCTGTTCACGGAAACGGTTATCGACTATGCGTATATCGATATATTAGAGAAACCAAATGGGGTCAAAGCGTTCGTGTGTCCGTTTCTCTTTCCACACTTTTACTCTTATCTAATTACTGATTAGATCATCGCTATTAACTGGGCCATAATTGACTCATTAGGCATGGCGTTAATCGGGTGGATAAAATTGATCATGTGTGCGTAATGCGAAGGGATAAAATAATGTATTGCAATTAAATCTTACAATTAGTTTAACTGTGTTATAAAAAGATACTCTTTGCATGGCATGTGAATTATAAAAATTTTCAAGATTTCTCTTTTATAAGCATTTTCTAATAAGATTAAAGTAGAGCGAAATGAAAGTATTTTTATAAGTTATTTTTAAATTACGCACGCTGAAAATAACCACATAAAATGTAGGAAAATAATATGTGTGGGAAATTAATTAGAGAATATATTTATTCACACATACACTCATTTTATCTAAATGAGATTGTCTGAGAAGAAGATTACAGGGCTTGTGAAATGAATATAAACACTTTAATTGAGAGAAAAATGTTTTTTAAATTGCCAAAATAATGATAAAATTGTTCTGACTTGTGATGCAAGTATTGCATCAAACCATATAATATGTCTTTTGTGTGTGTGCGCAGTTTATTATAATTCTTGCATCGCGCGTTCAATGTTGTTTATGTAATCCGGTTGATATCATTCGGGAATGAATACATAAGCTAATCGGGACGATAATAAGACGGGCACTCAAGAATATGTTAAATGCGATAAATGCATAATATTTATTTATTCAATTACGATAAGCTAATGCTGACTGTAAATAACATTTCCTTGAAACGAATACAAAATTTAAAAAATCAGTGCACAAAACGAAGAGATATATTAAATTATCGCATGACATAGAAACGGAAAATTTCTCTTTCCCTTTATAAAAAAACACCGGAGAATACTATCGAAAATAATGACACAGTTTATTACTTTTCTCAATAATTCCTAGTTTATAAAAATATCACTGCTAATAAAATTATAATAAAATGATTTCTTAAAAGGTACTATAATTCAAAAATAATAGTAAAGAAAAAACTTATGCAATTATACTTACACAATTTATTTAAGTTAATTTATTATAATCATTTAAAATCGTTGACACAAATGAAATAAGTAATACTAAGGTTATATAATATTTTTCTAGGATGCACATATTGTTTACTTTAAATAGGATTTTTCTTTGGTTTAATTTCGGTGTACGAAAGTCATTAAGTGTATTTCCTCTTACGATAACAAATTTTGTTGATTATATTATCGTTTACGTGCATATCATTAATGATATACTTGGAAATTTATATTATCGCAGGATATGTTTAACGCTTGGAAAAACAGTTTTATTTCTTTGCACAGGATGTGATTGCCACAGGACTGATTATTTAATAATTCTATAATATAATATTGTTAAAATATTACAGGCGCTGTTCTGCCAGCAACAACAAACAAATACGAAAAGATCGCTCTTAATATTAACTGGAATAAATAAATAATGAATTTATTTGCACAAACGGTAAATTGTACCGTCAATACCGATGTTACCAGATTTATACCGGGCAGTTTATTTTCGCATCTGTTTATTTGCAAACAGATAGATCCGACCCGTAAGCTGCATATAAACGTTTAATACCATTTGGATAATAACAGTTGATGTGCGCAATTTTCCCCTCGTTACACGGACTCTATTATTCCGCGCTTTTCCACCTAATTGCGCATTCGCTCGCAATATTATAATCGAGTGCATTTGCCCCCAGTTTGACGTCATCCTGTCGACACTGCAAAATAGTTTATTCAAAAGGAGCTGCATGCTCCGCTAATTAAATTCTACTGTCGGTCACTGACAGTACGGTGCTTGAACGACTTGTTTCTCCACCTTGTGCCATTCAATTGCAGTCACGTTCAGCCTTGCGTATTTATCGGCGTTCTGCGTAAGGTCAGAAACCAGTTTTCGCGCATTTTTCGACCGACTTTTCATCGATCATTGACAGATCGCCTAAAAAACACTTCAAGGTCTTTTTATTATGACGCATTATTGAACTATATAACTAGAGATACGGATATAGACTGGATTATGAACGCAGTAAGTGGAAGTGCATTTCTCCATCACAGATTCTTGCGCTCCGATGGAGTGGTCTGCATGGGTATTTCGTCGTACAAGTGCTCCGTGTTGTGGTCCAAATTTGCCTGCAGACGTATCAGAGTTGCTGATGGCCGGTCGTAATGGCTGTCTTGTAACAGATCTGAGAGATTCGCAATTAAAGATCTTAAAAATCGTATCGGTAAAAAAGTGTTTACGATATATAGTCGAAGTAACAATCGCAGTATTTTGAATTTCAACTGTTAATTAACACAGACTGAAACTGTCTGTGTAACATACTCGTTTATTATAAATTGTTTTTACTGCTGCTAGCCGTTATTTGTAGACCTTTTTACTTAACTTGGAGATTAATTTTCTTTATATATTTATTTATTAGTGCATGTGCGTCTTTATTGAAAGAGCGGAAACTTACCACGAAGATTACCAGAAATTCGCAGACCGATTGTAGCGGCGCCGTTAGCATAAGTATTCAGCGATTCAATGCCATCGACCGTCAGTATCGTTTCCGGTTCTGCATTAATAGCGAATATCGGATTCGCACCAATCGGGGGTGCTGAAATCATAACGGTATCGATGAATATAATATATAATTGTCTTGTGCTGATTGCAGATCAATGATTAGTAGAAAGGCCTCAACATCACACGATCTCGGCGAGATAAGTTTTTCGCTGGCTATGACGGTCAAGACTATTCTTAAAACGATTACGTGGCCAGACCCATCGGGGTCAAGGACGCATGGATTTCACTGGCAATCTAAGAGAGAATGTTACTGTCAGGTGAACATATAACTCACGAGGCAGAGTGGCGTTCACCATCGACATCCTTCCGTTGTTCACGTTCTCGTGTTCTGGGCTTTTGGTCTTCTCGTCATCGTAGACAGCAAGACGAATGGTCTCGAATAGTTTGGAGCGCATGTGAAGGACCATAACCACCGCGAGCGAGGTAAGACCGAGGGAGACAATTGCGGCTACGACGATTAGAGCGATGTCCAACGAGACCGGCGTTGGTGTCTGAATATCGTCTGTCGTAACGATATAGAAATGTTTTGTTAGAGATCGAATAATCGAGCATTGCAGTACAAAAACAAGACAAAGGTTTTTACATGCATTTTTGAAGTGTCCCGAGACAGTAGGTACCTTTGTGAATAGTTTTTACGTAATCGACATTTGGTACGCTGATGCTTTTGTCGCTTTGGACATGTCTGAGAAGAGCATCCGTCACGAACTTTTGCATATCCTTTTCAGCATCCCTTCTACGTTCGGGAACGGAGACTAAAACGATCACAGGACGAGCAGTGGTAGAAGGATTTTTCATTTGCATTTCATTTGCCGAGACTTCTACCCCCTGAGGAGGGGCTATGATTGAAGCTGTTACTGGACTCGTCGTTTTCGGAATGTAATTGATGTCATTCCATCTGTTATTGATACCTGCGGTTGGATCTAAATATTGCAAACATTATTATATTTAATAATTATAATTATGCTTAACTAATGTAATCTATTACTGTTGCGAAAAAAACAAAAATGTCATATATCGTCGTTGTACAGATTCAGAGTGCTGAGCCAAACTTCTTCGAGCTTCTTCAAAAGAATTGATGATCGACTTCTGTGAAGAAGCTCAGCTATCAAAGCTCGAGCTTAAACTTTATGTTTAATGATCTGATTTATCTTAACATGTGATGGATTATATTTATACTTTTCATAATAACATACGAAAACGTACGAAAAACTTGCTTTCCCTAACACTAATTTTAATCGGCAACTTTTGTTTGAATTCGTTTTTTTGAGACGTTTCCATTAATGTTTCAAAGGATGGAGATCCATTTCTTTATTTCCTGGCAAACAGTTGCGCAACTCTAAAGTCTACAAGTTTTCTTCGATTGAACGTATTATTTTACCTTCCGTCTGGCGTTCAGTGGTCTCGCGTGGCACAGAGACAATCTCTGTATGCTCCGTATTACTAATTCCTGATGTTTGCGGTAGACGGTCGGTAGTAGAGCTCTGCAAATAAGCGGGCGACGTTTGCTCGACCGAAGAGACATCGTCGTCAGTGCAGCTTCCGGTTACGGCATCGCAGCCATTATCCCAGTTTTGACATGTGCATTCGTTTGCACAATCCGGGCCCCATTGGCCGATTGCGCAATACTCCTCGCATCTGCAAAAGGAAGTACCCAATTTTTATAGTATCACTTGATTTAATGTGTGCTCCAACGAATACAATCTCGAGCTACTTATTGTTATTCGGTAAACATGGTATTTTTGAGCTACCGTGATCATTGATATTTTTTAACACTTACCGAGGTCCTTGTCGTCCTGGAGAACATTGACAAATGCCGTATACAGAATCGCAGGTACTACTCTCCCCGCAATCGCACATTTCTGTACATTCAAGACCCCAAAATCCCAATGGGCACGCTATAAAATAAAATTAATTAGTGCATTATATAATTGTATGAACGTGTTTTTGGAACATTTATTATGAGTAAAAAAATTACACGTGTTTGAGTAGGTATGGCCTTCGTAATTGTTCAAAAGGTATTGTTTTACGTAAAATCTCTATATGACATTATTGCATTTTCGTCATAATAATTAGTTGTTTAACAAAGTGCCCCGATCTCTCTTATATTATGTGAGAGAATAAAAAAAGTTTGTATTTTAATCTGCAATGTGTCAACGTATTTCATGGATAGTTGACAGATAAGAAAAGGCAATTTCCATATAAAAGAGGGCTATTAAACGTTTCGTAAATACATGCAAGTAAAATTATTAAGTTTGCAAAAGTTGTAGATCGTATCTTCGAAATGTTTAAGGCGAACGTTTGTCATACAACGCGAATGTCTCTTATAAAGCATCGACGTCGCGATTGCGTTATGCGAACGTCGGACGCGTTGTATCTGATCGACTGTACGCCGCCCACGACCTTCTCGAACGTTCACGGGAAAGTAGTGGCTTCGTAACTTCCGGGCTTCCGCAACTTTCGAAGCGTTCCCCGATCGTATTGGCGCAACAGTTGCGTGCAACCCGCGGATTCTGCTTGTTTGACAACCTATGTCTTATCATTAACTTTATAAACGCGATTTTAGAAAAAAAAAAAAAACTGCAAAGGAGAGAGAAAAAATGAAATTTTGGGGGATTTAATTGTGTCAAATGCTATAAAAGCTTCTCATTAATGTTAATAGGTCCGAATATTAAGGGATGAGAAAATTTATAATTAAAACTTTTGATAATGAGAAAGCAATTATCGTTCCTTTATAGTATTTCAAAAGTGATATAATTCTAAAAATATAAAGATTTTTAGGAAAATCTATTTTTAAACTTAACAGAAAATTATTGACTAATTAAACAATTAAGTAAAAAAACAAAAAAGAATATACATTTATAATGTATATTTATAATGTATATTCTTTTATTTTTAATTTAATTTATAATTAAATGTCATTTTTGTTAGTTTCGTTTCATAACTCTTAAAAATTTTTGAGATGTGGTTCTGATATCCTATAAAATTATAACAAATCAGGAATAATTGATCAAAAGTGACATAATGAAATATCATCAATAGTTTATAAATACTCTGATCAACTAAAATGACTAAATTCAAAATAAAATAATTTCTTCTTCAAACTTTGATCATTAAAACTGTTTTAACTTTATAAATGTTGTTTGTAGAATTTTCTTTTTATTTATAAAAAAAAACATGAGTCAAAAAATATGTTACTGTCTTGTAGAAAAAGTATATTATAAAACTTTAAGAACACAAGTGCTATTTGGCGAATGGACTATGAAGTTAAGTTAGTTTACATTTACTGATTGATAGAGTAATTTTTACCTAACTTACTTATAATAATAATTAAAAAATAACATTTCTTTAGTTGTATTATTTTTTAAACAAGGAAACGATATTTTTTTTACGTGTCCTATAGTCAAAGACTGTCAAAACTTAACCCAAAGAATTATTAATAATTTTTATTAAGTCGTTATTTTACAACACCATGATTATGCCACGGTGGCTTTGCAGAAGTACGTGTGTGGGTTAACATCAGTTTTAACGAGATGCGTTGTATAAATTACATGAGAAATCCCACTCATTATTATGATTCGCGTGGAAGTACTATCTACTGGAAACAGTCATTTCACACGCGCGTTCTTGCGATCGTGGAAGGTCGGTCCGTTTCATGGAGCGTAAAATTTCTCATTGCGTTTTGCTGCTATTTCGTTTCAGATCTGTTCGCTCTCAATTTTGTTTCACAATCACCGCGCGACGCACCATTTATTTTCTTAATTTTAGATCTTATTCTTCGGGCTGAGATCATTGCAAAATTAGTAGAATTATACGGTTCAATTAATTATTTAACAGACCTTCAAGTTTTTCAAAGTATTAATTCAGTCAATTTTGCATGTATATTCATCGCTATTTATTGCCTTGGTTTAAATATACTCCTTTTAAATGTCATAGCGATTTATCAACGCCTAATTGGCACTGCAAACATTATTCAATCAAGTTTAATAAATAAAAGATGTTGCAAGTCGTCAGCTGAAGAATTCATTTCAATGATCTTCTTTAAAATGCTTTCGTTGTTTCTTTAAGATAGTATCTCTTTGGGGCACACTCTGATATATTCGTGTTGACAGTAATATTATAGATACAACTGTCATCGTCTTAAATAGTCACAATTGTCGTTCAATACAAATTTATTTGCTATATTATAGCAAGTTGTGCTATATTACGTTGAAATGACGGTATGTTAATTCTTAACTTAATGAAGGCAGTAAATTGAAAAAATATCATTAAGTTTCACCAACGTAAGGAAAAAAAAATTTTAGTTTCTTATTCTTTAGAATATAATTTTTCTGGAATGCGTTATTCAGAAACTAAAAATAATTATGATAATTAATGTATATTAAATTCACTAAAAAGCATAAAAATCTTAAGGAGCATCTTAATTACGTAAAAATTTCAAAATTATAATTGTTAATTACCAATGGTAACTACGTATTAGAAATGTATTAGCACATCGATTAGATATTTAATGAAGAGAAAAGAGAGAAACGTTGCCTAATGACTGTTGATTTCATTTCAAACTCACCACGAGCACAGTCATCTCCATAATATCCAGGATTGCAACGGCATTCGTTCGGTGCGACGCACACACCTACCACACATTTTTCGCAAAATGGTGAACAGCTCGCATCCATTTCCGCATCGCCGTGAATCATTTTGTATCCTTCGCAGCATTCCTTCAGAATCCTCGATTTTTTCTCCGTCTGCAAAACATATTATGAGATACATTTATATTTTAATTGATCTATTATGTACATTAAAGTGTCTGTCATGTCAAAAGAACACTTTTCATTTCAACAGTTTCTCAACAGGAGAACGATTTGAATAATCGCTAATAATTCCTTCACGTTGATACATAATAATTAAATGATTCTACGGTCTGACATCAACATTGTTAATAAGATTAATCGAGTGTGGACGTTAGAAAGAGAGGCTATATTGTTCTGGTGTTTTTTTCTTCGTTTTGAAAACGATTTCACCGACAACTTCAGCTAAGACGAAGAATTCTTGAGATAAGACGTTATATCACTCTTTAAGGCACGAGATTTCGATCATCGGCGAGAGTAAAAGTGAGAACGGCTGGAATGTGCAGAGAGGGCACGCGATGCGAAGGGGGACGATAGTGAGAAACAAGATGAGGAACACACGCGTGCATAACGAGTTCCTATCTCGTAACATTGAATTGACCGACTAAACACGTCCAAGCGACATGTAAAAATACCGCAATTATGATAGAAAACAAAAAACGAAGTAAGAACCTTGAAAAAATAACAGCTTATTTAATTTTAATTTTTTCTTATAAGAAATAAACTTACTTGTTGCTTTTTTATTTGTTATACGCATATCGTTTGAGTTAATACATAATACATACATTTCGCCTTCAAGAGAGATTGCAGAAATTTTTTATTTTAACAAATTTCTCTATTAACGTTTGATTATTATTTTCTAAATGTTATTATATGGTTTTTGGGAGAAATATTGGCCTTCATTGATTATTAAATATCGAAGACTAAAACAATAACAAATTTTTTATAAAAAAGACACGTGCGCATAAAAATTGCAGTGTCCGCTGCAATCAAATATTGAATCAGGAATATAGCTTTTCCTCTTTCATGCGAGCGTTATTACATTTTATCTCTATTCATTGCTTCTGCGATCGTATTACGTGATTTTCATTTTACATATTGCGTGGAGCAATGTGCCATATACGTTCGATATTCCTCTTTTGCTTGATTACGGAACGAAATCCGACTCGGGTAGTGCACCTTTAATGAGCATTATGTAAATTTTATACCTTCAATTTTTCAACCAGACATTTTGACATGCTTTTAGAAAGATAACGACATTTTTTATTCTTACCATCATAAACAAAATATCTGATATAAACTGAATTATATGCAAACTGAGTCATATTTAAACGCTCTCTTTTGCTTTCACTGTGAAGGTTTTTCTATTTTGATATATGTATATATATTATATATATAAAATGTGTCATATGGGAGGAATCATTGTCGCTTTTTAATTCATTTTTCAAGATTTTTCTTAATATTGAAGATAATCTTTTATGCAAAATTATATAAAATACATTTTAGTTCATATAATAAATCATTAATTACAATAGATAATTAAAAAATGTCAATTTAATTAATTTAATTAATAATTAAACAATTTAATTAATTCTTAGAACAGTTAAAAAATATAAACTTTTTTAAATTGTTTTAGTCCAGTTTAAAGCGTAACAGTCTACAGATTTAATTTAAAAAATTAAAACTATTTTTAAAAAGAATTAACATTTAAACCGTTTCCCATTAAATCATATAATATTGACTCACGCGGAAGTAAGTTTTTTTTATTTATATATCATAATCTAATATTTAGTGTTGAACAGTAATTTCTATATACGAAAAACCTCGACTGTAAAGCCATTAAGTTAATTGATGAACATGTTCCGTGTCTCGTCATAAATCATTTGGAGTTGTAGATCTTTATGGCGAGAGCTACCAGATGCATTGGAAACTGACATCAAAGTTTTTTGTTCTTACTAAACGCCGTAACTGACATGATTAATTCCCATAGCAACCTTTTACTTGCGTAAGGAGACTCTCTTTCACAAAGAGGAGAGATAAGTTATTGATTACAATATTGCGTTCAATTATAACTATAGTGGGCCATGTTATACCGTATATGCATTTTGATCGACATTATCGATTTCAGAAATCTTGTGATGCTCGATAGCGTCATCTCGATAGCATCCACATGACCCTGTTGTCTTATCATAGAACATGTAGATTTATAATTGCAATAGATCATTATCCGCGAATGCGTATGATGGAATTGCGTAATAATTTCCAAGTAATCCTAAAGTAATAGTTTCGTAAGAATGAATTAAATCGATTATATTATAATTGTATTAAATATAAGCATCTAATTAAATTGTGAATGTCATGTATAATATAATTTAGCTGTAGATGCAACTGAATAATTTACATAATTTATTGACAATGTTTATTCTGCAAATATATATATTTGAAACGTCCCAGATTAAAACAGTGTAAAATGTTTTTTTAAAGTTTAACTTAATAATACGATATCCTGATTTTTATAGCACAGAAAAATCTTACTCTCTTTTTTCTTTCTCATTTAATGCTTATAAAAACACGTTATTACTCAAAAGTTTTGCAATCCAGACGTTTTCTAGTAGAAAACGCTAAGTGACCTCGACTTGTTCAACGGTAATTTTTGCTCATTATACAATATTATCCTGCTCGCATTTTTTGTTCAACGTTTCCTTTTTTTTCAATTCGGACGTTGGTTGACATTGCTATTATAAATGTCAATTACGTCATACGTATCGATGTATCTTGTTATTGAACGTTATTAACAACAACTTTTTAACTTGATCGCATACAAACAATCCTTTAGTTACATTACGTTTAATACGTTTCTTTGAGAAATTAACGACTTCGCTTCTCGCGCACCGCGGCCACTTTATTCGCCCATAATTCTCCGCGATAATTAACGGTATATTACAGTTTAGCTTCATTCCCTTCCAATAACTCCAATCTACTCCAAACAAAGCGGCTTCTCTTGTTTTTCAATGACGGGAAAAAGTAGAAAAAAAAAAAAGATTTCTCGCGTTCACCGACGTTATGGCCCATTTTCAAACGCAAGATAGCGTTACAGTTTTGCATTACAAGAGGCCTGTTCTTTTTAGGTGGATTGCTTACACCGTTCATTTATTTCTCCTATTTTCTCCACGTGAAGAGAAAAAGAAGGAAAGCTAAACTGTGAAGATGTTCAGCTGAAAAGAACAAATCTAACATTTGTATGTTCATCAGTTTCCAAGAATACGTCTGGCAAATTAGCGAGGGAAACGATTACCTTCGCATAACGGCACCTTCGCTGGAATTCGCGCCGCTGCGCCGCGCGCCGTTGAGTCACTTTTACGTGAGCATTGCATTATCAACTGCACAGTTTCTTACGCAGCCGATGCGAGTACGTGCAAAACATGATGATGTTTCGTATGCTAACAAGCTGAACCTTCGATCGCGCGCGCGCGGCGAGGTGAATTCGTAAGGCATGTATACGATCCGACGAGTAGATTCGTGGCTTCGATAAACGCCGGATTGGCGAAGCTTCGATGAAAGCTGTAATTGTTTTGCATCATAGCACTACCTCGTACGCCACCATCGTATATACAGATCGTATCGCGATAATACGATAGTTGCCTCGCAAAGCTCTAAGTAGGTCGATAGTGAATATAACACGCAGGTGATTCTATTAATGATAGATCTCGAGCAATTAACGCGAATCGTTAATGAAAGTTACACATAGGAACTGCAACATATTGATTATTTGCTTGTTATGCGGATAAACTGTTAGGAATTCTTTGAATGGAAATGAAAGAATATGTTTATTTACTCTTAATTCTAATTAATCGGTTTTGTACAAAATCTTGTATTTTAAATTTAATTATGTTACATAATGAACTTTGTGCAATATAATAAAAAATTCTATAATAATATAAAAGGGATAACATTTTTTTACATAAAGAAATCGGCGATTTTACCAATTTTACCGTATTATATAATTATTTTCAATAATTATTATCATAATAAATAAATTAATTATTTCATTTTTTAATTCAGCTTAGATTTTAACGAAACTGGATTTGCTAAATGCAAATTAAGTGTGTGGCAATTGTCTATATACGAAGATCGTTAAAAACAACATTTTATTTTAACAAAGATAAGTATCTCCTCTACCAAGAGAAAAAAGACTTTCGAAACAATAATTATAGTAGCGTACGTGACGCATAATGTCGATATAATGGCGAAATATCCTTTTTTTCTTCACTTTTTTTCTAGGCTGCATCAAGTAAGTTCATTGTCCATATAATAAACCGTGCAAAATGCCTCATGTATGTGTACATGCAAGTATGCCTATTGCCTATGCACCTTACTTATGTGATTACATTGCGGGCGTTCTCGTCCCAAACATAGGTATACGCCTCGCCGGTATTTGATACGCTAAAGTTTCCATTTTAGGCTGATCGTTCCCTGTCGACTTTGATATAATGCACACCGGTGCGGCATACCGATTACGAAACGCGCTAGCGCGAACGAGATCATTTCACTTCCGGCCAATTCCTCGATTCGCGAGTAGCGCGGCAAACACAAATTTTCAAAGCCAGCCGAGATTCCGAAGAGCCGTGTTCTAATTGGCGGACGAGCGATTTGTCCGACCTCGTGAAATCCTGTGAGAAAGTGCGAGTTTCTCCCGTATAACGTCACCAATTTTGACACCTTGAGTTAAACGGTTGTAAGTAAAAAAGGATCATTATTAGAAACTTCAACTGTTACTTATTTAATTATAATTCAATTAGTACTAATTACATTATAATTAAATAAGCAATAATTGAAGTTTCTAATTATGATCCTATTTTGGATTCGATTCAGCGATGCGTTGAACTACCACATTATTATATACAAAGATCTTTGTGTTTAAATAATCCTGATGACGACTCATAGATTATACATGAAAACTTTAATCTCTGGATTTATGTTAGTCATTCTGATTTCTTGCAATCTTTTTCTGAAAAAATGGAGGTTTTAGCCTTTGACATTCTTCTCTCGAATATCTTGTTACAGACGAACAAAAATAACGACACATTATACTTCCCTTTTTTCTATGATTACAAACAGGACAATTAATGCAAGATATAATATGTTTGGATATAAAAAATGAATTCCACCGAGATTACATTCTCATACAATCTTATCTCGATCTTAGCGTTAGAATTGTTACGCACGAGACTCGAGATCCGTCTGGTCGATGACACGTAGTATTTTTTACACATCAATTACATCTGTCGTTCGTTGGGACTTTGTTTACATGACGCACGTCATGTCTCATTGCCGTTAAACGACGGCAATTCACTTTCGTACGGTTGTTATCGGGCTGCTCCGGCGCCTGTAAATTGCCGCGAGATTTCACACTGACTTTATTACATTCGCGTCTCGGTAACCCGTGCTTTAATTGAAGCAATATCGAGACCTGACGTCTCGTTAAATTACAAACAATGAACATACCTGAATACCTTGAATATCTGTTTGCGTTGCAATTGCATGCAGGACTTAGACACTATCGATATTTATCGCGTGCGCGTAATTTCTGACCGTAATATTATACTGTTTATGCACCGCACTGTTACACGATGATGTTCTTCAGAATTATCTCACAAGAAATGTCTTTACCTGCCCGCGCATCTTCAGAGAAATTGTCTTGTTACCTGCGACGCGTCAATAAGTTAAACGCTCGCTGTTAAATCGTCGACTTCCGGCATTTCCCTTCTCGAGGGTACCGCACAAAGATACGGTACAAAGTTGTGTGAAGTCTTTTTCAGCTAATGGCCCGCTTCTGGATTGTTTCGTAATCCCGAGACAGGACAGGTTCCTCCTTCTTTCGGCGCGATTCGTCAATTCCGCATTTCACGGGGCGTAATTGCAGCTACTGCGTCCCCCTCCTGTCATCCCCGACGCTCAAGCGTGTCCACATTTTCTTTTTATTTATTTACTTAATCAGACGGTCGCTTAATACGGACTTTCCCTGTAATTAGCTCATATCGGCGGCAGAGGCGAGGGAAAGAAGAGAAAGAGGCGGAGAACAAGGACGTGGAGTAGCAAGAAAGAAGGAGAGCAAGAGGCAAAAGCGGAAGAACAGACGGGTTCTTTTATTGCGTCGCGTATGTGGAACTATTTACCGCACGGATACCCGCCAGAGGTGTTTCGCCGATCGTTTTCCATTCACGTTGCCTGGGAAACGACATTTTTCCATAACGAGGCGTGGAAATGGGGGTTTATGTAACTTCTTCCGCGACGCAATTTTGCTGACGTTAGAATAAATTATGGTTCTATTGTCTTGCGATTGCACCTCTTTCCTTTTTTGGACAACTTCAGTTTCGATCATGAAAATTCCACTTTGCTGCCGCTGTATTGGGATAACGATCATTTTTCCTCTGGGGCGGAAGTGTGAAAAGTAAACATTCTCTTATGTACACTATGAAACGCAAGAGCATGCGATTCGGAGCTCTGAACGATATGAAACGAGATGGCCCCTATTTCATTCCAAACAATGAAATTCAAGATTTTAGTGGTTACTACTATTTCACAATCATGTTATTCATAGTGCGGAAAGGATTTTTCGAGGGGTTCGCTATTACGAGGTTTCAGGGTACATACGATGATCGCTGTTCTGATACAACAATAACAAAGTAGAATTTTTATGATTGAAACTGAAATTGCTTAAAAAAAAAAGAAAAAAAAATTAGATCAAGTCAGATTATATAATACATACAATCGCCAATTGTTCGATGGAACGGTATTTTCTTACCTATTATGTGCCAAAGCCTTTCACAACATTTTACGCAAAATCTTTTATGTTGTGTACAAGATTAACATATTTTCCTATTCCTTTGAGAAGTTTGAGAGAATCCTCCCCCAATATAAATTAGGATTGGCTGATGAATAGACAATGAAATTGCTTACGTAGATACTTGCGTCGGAAAAAGTCTCTCGATGCAAATGTCTGTCTATCGTTAACGAATTCTCTAATTATTGTTTTTTCCCAATCTTTTCGTAGAGCTATTCAGGATGTACTGCCAAATTAATCGAGAAAGAAAGGAAAAGATCCTGTACTAATTATATGGAAAATTGAGTTTCCGGTGAAGAGTGAATTAGTTTTTGCATAATATAGTGATAGAATTAAATTGTATATTAATACGATTTTTAGAAAAGGAACAAATATTCAAGGAATTAATTAAAAATTTTGATGTTTCTGAATTTAATTTGTGAAAAAAAACTATGCAAAGTATAAATTATTTTTTATATATCAATGTAAAATAATTAATATTAATGATCAATTATTGTGTGTTTTCTCGTCAAATACTAAGGCTGATTGTGAGCCGTAAAAGGAAAGAAAAACATCAGAACTTACCTTCACACGATATCGTTGTCGTAGTTCGGTCCGCGTCTTGGGACATCTCGGGGGAATTTGTAAGCACCAGGTGAATGAGTTGACTACAACTGGCTCAGTGTAAGTTTCGTACGACGTAACTGTGTAACTGTAACGTACGGTTGATTAACTACCCACTAGTCCCGCGATTCCCTTATCGGGCTTACAGCGATATGCGCGAGGTGTGAGCATAATAATGATTTATGTACATAGGTATTACGTATACCGATTGCATTGTCAAGGCTTCTAGGTGAAGGTCTTTTAAAAAGGTATCGAACTGCTCGAAAATGGAATTGCCACTTTGAGCTAATTTTTAACAGTTTATAGTTTGTGTTGATTTTAGAATAGAATTTTATTTGTATTTCCATATGTATATATTGTATTTTATTACAATTTCTTACATATGCGTGTATTGTCCAAATTTTTTACGTATAAAATTATAAATAAAATTCTATTTTTTAATTTTGACACCAATTGAAGATCGTATATAATGAACTTTATCTAACAATTGCATATTTATTTGTGTTTTGGTACTAACTTCTCTATTCTTGAGCAAATGTGATCTCCGGTCAATGAGTTAGCGATGGACACTGTTTCAAATGTCGCAATTAGGAGAAAGATCCACAAAATCTCCGAAAGACTCATTTCAGTAAAATTGCGAGATCTAAAAGAGTCCCTCGATTAGTTTTCCTACATACAGTCAGTGTAACATGAATATTAAGGAGCGGCAATGTACTTACCGCGAAAAAAACAGAGGTATCTTGGAGCCTCAAACACGATTTCTTCAGAAAAATCCACATCGAAGAAATTCCGGTGGTTGTTGGCGTTGTTCAAGTAAAAGTGATCCTCTCATCTTTTTATATGGTATATCCATCAGACGAAAAAAAATTATTATCAAATAAAAAGTGTATCTCGTGTTTCAATAATTTAAACAAAATTTAGACTCGTGATAAATGAATTTCAGTGACTAAATGTGTTATAATATAATATAATTTGAATAATTATAAATAGTAATAATTTGATGAAGGAAAATTCGATTAAGTCTTCACTCGTACTATTATGACACTGTTCTGACATTCGTACAGGATGTGGTCGGAAATACTTGTCGCAATGCGTGCATGATAGTAACGTCCCCTCCGAAAAGGTATTTAGGAGGAAGTATTAACTGACCCTAATCATAGCACGGTACAAGTGCGACATTGAATATTGAATATGCGTCAAATATAAATGTCAAAGTGTCGCGAGAACAATGCAGAATATTGTACAATAGAATAAAATGCTATACAGCCAAAGTCAATATTTGCGCGAGAAAAGATACCTATTTTGCGTAACAAACGTCGTGATAATTTTGCGATAATTCTGCGTACTGATTCTGCGTATTGAATTATTCCGGGGGTTTGATCTGATCAAGCCACGCCAGAATACCTCATTGTTTATTAATTTGACGTACTTATAACTGAAGGCGTACAAATAATTCCGTAACGTCATTTAATATTCAACTGTAATTCTAGGAATGTCTTTATAGTTGCTATTTTTGTATTAAACGATGAATTGCGAAAACGATGCGAAAGAAATAAGAATTTCGCGGTTGATTAGAAAAGCAGCCACGCGCGCGGCACGTTAATCCGATTAACTAATACTGATGATGTCAACGAAGGTCGCACCAAAATTTCACATGTACCACACATAGCATAATGTTTTTCTATCCGTTAGTTTCATATGGAGTTGACAAGAAATTGAGATATATGTTCATTCAAACGCGTCGACCAGCTGTTCTATTCGTGTGAGAATTCTGTTTCTTATTTGTAATTTATTGTTACGACAGCCTAGAGAGTATTTCGAAAGAAATTTTTCGAAATACGCAGTTTCTAATGTCGTTATATATCTTTATATGTCGTTACACGTCGTGAAAGTTGATAGTTAATTAAAACATACAAATGCAATGCGCAATTTAATTATTACTCATAATCCACAAAAAGCTAATCAAATAGCGTTTTATCGAATTTTTTTGAAATTTATATTTTTAATTAATTATTTATTTATATATCTTTGGTAAAAGATGATCTCATTTCGAATGGCTCGATATGTATAATTGCGATAAACATAAAAGAGCAATAAATTTCTTGTAGTTCAATAAATTCTGAGAGTTAACAGGTTGCGCGATACTTTCAATGTTTTATAGCTTTGTATTTTATGATGTATATATGTATTTGTATATCGAGATTACTAAAGTAAGATTCCGCAATAAATTTATGACGTAGTTGTCACGAAAAAGAACTTAAACCAGTGCAACTAAATTATAAATTTCAAAGATATTTGTTTTTTAATACTAATTCAGAAGTCGTCAACTTTTTCATTTATGCAAAAATCGCTTCAAACATCCTGTTTTGCGAATAATTAGAAGACGAATATAGAACTTCTTGCGTATTGTATCGCATCACCGTGTAGACGTTGCGAATCAAAACTTTGATACTATGATATGCGAAGGCGTACCGTATCCTATCGTTGAATCGATACGTAATTGATACAATACGCGAATACGCAACAAGTCCGTATCCGCCTTAAAATTTACCTAAAGCAGTGTAGAAGAAACTCGGACGGTAAATGTTGCGATTACACAATTTGCAATTATCGAAACGCCTATGCCGAGAACGCGCCGAGTCTTGTGTAGGACTGCAAAATTAGTAATGAAAATGTAGATGCAAATTATCCTCGTTGTTGATGCTACCTCAGTTTACACTATGCGTTTCACCGAGTTCTCTTACAAGCGATTATGTAATGATAAAATTACCATTGTGTCAATTAAAGTGAAAGAACAATTTTTTTTCGCGACAGTTTATGACGAAAGGAGAGAAGAAAATAAAATAACGTGTCCACTGCAATTATCCGATCGCAAAAGAAAGAAGGATATGCGTCACATTATCGCGTGCAATTTAAATGCATTCGTCATGCGGGTTAATATCATTACTTGTGGAAAGAATCGCCTTCTCTCTGATCAAACGACTTCTAATTATTATATACATATATATAATTACAGCAATAATAAAATATAATAATAATACTAAGGATGATTTTTTCGACATAATTACAAAATTTTCCTGCAACAGTTTTCTTTTACGTTCCAAAATTTATGTAATTAAAATTTTGACAATATTCATTATATGTAAATGTTAATTCACATTGTATTTTAGTATTATAATTCATGTACTTTACTAATTCACGAGTAACATGAGAAAATCATTCTATCTATTCTGTCTATCTCTTACTGTCTATATTTTAGTGTGAGTTTTACTCACTGCAACGTACACCTTCAATATAATCCACGTGACTTCTGTATCACTTCCACGCTAAATCTTGATTCACACCACGTTTCTCACAAGTCTCGTTGAAGACACGCGCGTTCGAAATGAAATTAAAATTAATTTCTTATTACACGTGAAGCTGCTGCCTCGCGCAAAGTGGCGTCGTGTCGAAATAAGCGAAACGCGGGACCATGTCGCTGCTCTTTATCTCGCGAGAGCGTGAGTATCATCTCGCAGATGTGCACAATCCTACGGCGTCTTTTTTCTGATCTCAGGACCGATCTCTCGCGAGGGCCGAGCCCTCGCTCCGGGAAATGTCACTGTCGCTTTCACAGAGCGATTCGCAACTGCGGCTCGTAACGAGCAATTGGCGTCGCCGGTACTCGGAATGCACTTGTGGCACAATGAACTCCGACCCTCCGACAACTCCGACGAACACGACGACTACGATGACGATCATGCCGCGGAGGGGTTCGGGGGCGAGGGGGCGCATCCAAAGGGACGGTTGTACAGTGCCCACGTTCACGAAGTAGAAGAGAGACCGACGCCACCATGCTGGTACTTCGGTTTGCAAAGCGACGCGGATATCCTGCGGAGACATTGACATTGCGATCAGCGAAGTGCCATTGCGAGTTACCAGCAACGAAGAGTGACAAACAATGGCGAACACGAGTTATTATTTATAGAGAATTAAATTAGTCGCGAAAAAAATTTTGCGCTGGCGGAAAGACGGTGCATGCGAAATCGAGAAGCGGTGAAACGAATGAGTGACGTGCTCTCGTAAAAGTAAGCTGTTGTTGAAACAGAGATCGGTTTTCCTCGAGTCGTATATTAACAGAAAAAAATCGCTTTCGATCCGATGTGACATTTTTTTTTCGATCATGCTCGATCGCGTGACTGAAATGGTAGATCGGTTAGGCGACAAGCGCAAAATATGAGAACACTATTTCATAATGTAATTTAATATATAAACTGGGCTTAACTTACGTTTACGTTACTCATTTGTTTGTACTATTATATTACATCGTGTATCCGTTTGCATCATTAGTAAATTAAGAAGAATCATGAATACGATTCTCTACATCCTGTAGTTCTAACAGTTTATTTTCACTCGTAGTGTCTAATGTGTCGGATGTAGATGCGGCTCTCACGTTAGCAAAGAATTGGAATAGATAGGCGAAAGCCGGAGTTTAGAATTGTCTGTAGGAACAGTAGAGATCGCGCGGGCAGACTCGTGTAATGAGATGATTGGGCGGGCAATTCACCGCGTTCCCTCTTGTTCGCAGCACGCAATAGATCGGACTACAGCTGGATCGTCATCCGAAGCATCGACCGCTTAATCCCATAAAGCTGCAACAACATCCTACTAAATAGAGTAATTAGTAATTACAAAGAAACGCCCCTTGCCGCCTGTGTATTTCATTGAAATTAGTCATTGTTGAAATAAGATTAGAGAGAAAGAGAGAGAGAGAGAGAATTGTGTAATTTAAAACAACCATATTTACAAGTATGATATAGCAATACGCTTTGAGACATTAGAGATTCTATTAAAAAGAAGTTATGATATAAATGAGCGTCCATTATAAAGTTTTCAAGTAACATTTAGACAGAACGCGATAAACAAATATTATTAAATAATATTTTGTTATCTACAAATGGAATACGTTTACTGCAGCTTTTTTTATTAATTTTTCTGCATTTTCATGGTAGGTTCTATTTAAAAAATTAATAAATTGTTGAATTGTTTTTACAGTTCTTAACGATGAGTCTTTAAGCGACGTTAAAAAAAAATAATAAATTAAGTAATTTTCTATTTACAAGAATTATATATTAAAAAATTGATCGTTTTACATCTACAGATAAATACGTTACGTTGAATTAAATAACAGCTTTTCCTTCTTATAAGTTTTCCTGCAATTATCCTGCATTTTCAAATGTCAGTTCGCATACGCCACTCTGGATGACGCAGGTCCTACGTGTGCACTCTATCGTGCAATTGCAGTTAGCTAAACAAACATTTCGCAATTGCAAGACGCAATAGCCGCGTGCGAGTAGATTCTGTATCTAAGCTGCGTGTTGTTTATCTGCACGATGTATTTCGGCGGAACCAACGCGCATCCAACGCGCAAAAAAAAATGTGAAGAAGCACACATGCAAATAAAAATTAAAACTATTTGTTAATTTCGAAGCAAAGGAAAACAGTTCCAGAAATACGACTTCATATTCTTTACATGTGTCTATAAGAAAAAAATGACTTGACAGTAGCAGCTTTTTAATAGCTGGATCAAACTTAGCTGTATATAAGAGCTACCATCTTAGTGTCATCTAACCTTTGGCTGTTAGATAAAAAACATTTACTGTGGCATGAAACTTTATTTGCTGAAATTAAAAGTATTATTAATATAAGCAGCTAAAAGAATACTAAATGTATTCAAATTCCACACACACAACACACACAACACACACACACACACACACACACACACACACACAC